TCTCTTCTTTTCTATGCTCACTCGTTCTATCTCTACCCTATCCTTAACTTTACCTCCAACAACACCATTCATTTCGTAGATTGTGTTTTCTTACCACTATGCCCGTTGCGACCCCGCATACTTCTCTTTATTTATGTCTTGATCCATCCGACTAAGCAAATACGAGGATTGTAGTCCAGGCAGTGCGGGGTTAGGGGGGAGGAAGGGGGGGCGGGGGGAGGGGGGCGGGGTGCTCTTTCGTTTTTCACCCTTCCCAGCGCGTTCACCTGTTTTTAATGCTTGTTGTCTCTTTGGATTGTTGGAGGGCTTTTGTTCTTGATGAGGATAGTTAGTTGAAGTGGTACAGATAGTAATGGTAGTTTTTCCTTGTTTGCTACAACGCCTTGATTTCCCGCTGATACCCTTTTTGACCCTTCAACTTTCAAATTTGAATCAACCAAGATATATACTTTCCCCCCCTTTCTCCCACCCCCTTTTTAACCCCCTCATGGAAGAACAATGCGCACATCCTCCGCTTTCAAGACCCCATCAACAATCAACTCAGCCACAGTCTTTGGCAGCTCAAACTGCACCCCATTTCCAGGCTGCCCAAACCACGGCCTGATCGGACCAGACCGGACGACAAAGGGGACGAGAACCGAGTAGACGTGGTAGTTGTATGAAACCCTGTTTGACACATCATCAGCCAATCTCTTCTCAACCAACTCATTTTCGAGAAAACATACCCAGTATCAGCCGGAGTATTCAAGTTCGTCGGCGGCAGCGCCCTCTCTGTCAAATCCAAATCAGCTTTTTCACCCCCCCTCACAGTGGTAGGTATTCAATCAACCCCCACAGAATAAACAAACTCACGTTGATAACCGGCCCCAGCAGGGCTGACAAACGTCCCCGTCTCCCCGCCAAACCGATCGAGCAGCGTCCCCCTCCCGAGCGTGACCTCCCCCACAATCGGCAGGCCGCTCTCCCCAAGGACGAACCCGTTCTCCTCGGGGTACCACCACCACCCAGTACCGGTGACGTTGAACCAGGTGTCAAGAAAGACACCAGGGCACAGGCCGCCGAACCGGTCGTAAAACTCGGTGATGGAGTCCAACGGCTCACGCCTGGGGAGGCGGGTAGGGCCGAGGCGGGAGTCGCCGCAGAGGTACTTGTTGGTTTGGGAGGGGTTGTAGGCGGTTCCTTTGCAGTAACGGGGGCCGTTCAGTTTTCCGCAGGTCGAGGAGGAAGAAGACGAGCCGCGACCTCCTTGGTGCCAGTGGGGTGGGAGGGCAATGTCAGCGGCCGCGGCGACATCGGCGTTGGCAGCCTCCTCGGGGACAGGCAGGGGGTTGGCAAAAACCAAGGGAAGGGCAGCGAGGAGGAGTTGGCGGATCATGATGGGCAACTGAAGGGGAAGGGGAAGGGGAAGGGGGGGAAGTCAAAAAGAGTGGACAGGGGTGGGACAATGGTGAGTGGCCTGGTGTTCAACATCGTGAGAGGGGACGACGGGAAGGCCATTTTATATCCGTGTTTCCCCAATCACTCAGCTGTGAGATGTTCACCGTGTGTTCCCAAAATCAGACTCGGCTGCCACGGAGGGGAAAAAAGAAGCGGTCGGTGATTTGGATCACCGTGACACGAGAACAGCGTGCCGGAAATGTAGATTTTGCGGGCCTCCAGGGTCCAGAGACTGAGACATTCTTCGAGTTAGACTTTGAAGATCCTCGATAGATCTATGGAACGCGTCTTGGCATGTGCCGCATCGCGTTCTCAGACAGGAGTTCGGAGTAAATGCTATGAATTAATGCTACCCTAATTCATACAGGGAATGATTGAAATTCAGCATGCTCCGGACCACACGCGTCTTACCTCCTTATGTATAAACACTTTCTGTCCACGAATTTACTTGCAAGCCCTTTTCCGCCATCGGCGCGTCGCGCAAGAATTCTAATGGCATCCAGACGAGGTGGCCCTTGATTTGGTCTAGCTTTTGTCTGACTTCGTGACCAGGTATCATGCGATCGAAAATGTGTCCTGCCTTTACGCCCTTGGGCGGCATGTAGCCGTTGTAATCATCAAACGTTTTGACTATACGGATGATGGGTCAGTAAAGATTGATCCAGATCTGTGGTCGAGTAGCATACCGTGATCATCTGGGTCGGCATGGAATAGCTGCCGGAATACCTCAGTGTTTTTCGACGCTCGGGACGTCCACATCTCCCAGAGCTCATCGCTCAGGGGATCCTCAACAAACTTCCAAGAATCATCTTGATCTCCCACATCGTTGGGCGAGTCGTCGCCGGGCGGTTGTGCATTCGGGTCATCGCTGCCGTCAAGATCCTGTGGCGGAAGCAGGCCGAGGTGTTCGCGCCAGAGATACCGCCGAAGGGTGGCAGCATGCCAGCCGGCCTCGTATGGCTTGCCGTCCATGGTGGACTGAAACGTCTTTGTATCCTCCATGACAATGCTCAATTCGCTGTCGTGATAGCCTAGTTGGCTTCGGTCATTCAGGTTGCTGGATCCGCAGACGACGATGCGGTCGTCGACGATGAGAAGCTTGGCGTGAATGTACAACTCCTCCTGGACCCAGTGATTGACCTCATCCTCCTCGTCTCCATCCCAAGGAACCTCTGACAACTTCCCTTGATTGGCCATGGCGTAATGAGCAACACTTACAGGAGAGTCCACACCCATGTCTCCATTCTTGGCTGCTTCAAATCGCCGCTTGATATCGGTATCTCGTTCACCAACCGAGTTCCCTCTTGCCTGCTCCAAATTAACTGGCATCTCACCATGAACGGTCCGCGCCTGACCACCATGTTGCTCACTCCTGTGACCCATATGGCTGTCACGACCACCATCCGTGTCTATTGTGCCGTGGATACCCTCGCCCATCACCTCCTCAGCTTCAGCACGCTGCAGTTCCTGGTACTTGATGCCCGACTCTTCCTCTTGCTTCTTGATGGCTGACGTCCTGTTAAGACGGTCATAACTTCTCAGGTTGAAGAAGAAAATGTGCTTCGTTGGATCGACACCCTCCTTCTTGATCTGTTCAAAGATGCTGTGCTCGCCCCTGCAAATTGACTTGTACTGGTAATCCATGATGGCTCGAGTCCCGATGGCTCCGTCCTCTCGCAGGTCTCCGGCGAAGCCGGGCACTGCTGGGATGAGGATCATGACGCGGAATTTGCGGCCCTCCTTGGCAGCACTCACTACAGCATCTACAATGGCACGGCCGATTGTGTTGTGGATGGGGTTCTGCTGGTCGCCTGTCGCTGTGATGAAGAACTGGTTTTCGATGTACACATAATGCTTGGCGTTACGAATGATGTCGGAATAAGCGTTCTGAATGGAATGGTCAGTGAGAATGCCGCTTGACCAATCGGCACTAGACCGGATGATCTGTGCATGAACACTCCCCCGATGGTCAAGATGCTTTGTTTCCATGGGTGAGAGCGGATGGGTAACATAACCACCGACAGGGTGCTTGGGCCTTTGCACGCCCACAAGATCTTCATCCTCTCCCTGCCGACCTCTCAACTCGAGCCACTCGAACCGCTTGTCCCTTTTGTACTTGTCTCGCTTGACAAAATTCCAGCGGAGAACGAAATGTTCGGCGATGTCGTAGACGCAGGGCCCAATCACCCCCATGGCAACATCATGCCAAGGCATCCTTCCTGACTCTGCCTTGCTCAGCTCGTTTTGTTTCCAGTCATCAACGTTCTTAAAGTCCATGATCCGGTTGTTGTTGAAGTCTTGACCGGGCCAGACTTCGTTGCTGACACCCTCTGGATGCAAGTCGGAGAGAGCATGGTTGTGGCTGTCCCATCTCCCAAAGCACAGATCCAACCCGCCAATGAAGGCCATCTCGTAGTCAATAACGATCAACTTTTCGTGATGAGCCCAGTAAAAAGTCATGTCGGCCGCGTTCTCTAGCACGTTGTGATCTGGGTGACGCATAATCTTGATGTTGCCGTACCCAGGAGAGCCTTCAGGGCACAAGGCCTGAAGCGCATGCTTTGTGTGCTCCGAGTTGCAAGTGAGAGCAGCCTGGACTTCTCGGTAGACCATGACGTAGATCTTGACCCCAGCCTCGGCTCGACGTTTTAGCACTTGGTCTAGACGCCATTCCTTGTTGAAGTAAGGAGGCCGGCGTAAAAAGAGTTCGGGGGACAGCCACCAGTCCGCAATGTAGATGGTTTCCTTGGCCTTCTCGAGGGCGACTGACACTGCCTATTTCTGAGTTAGAAACAAGCTGAAATGGCAACATAAAGGGGACAAGTGGCTTACCCAAAAGTAGTCCCGTCCATCTACATACCACTTGACCATATTGCCCTCTCTTTCAGGGAAATACGAGTCGAAGCGGTGGGACTCAGCTATCCTAGCGCGTTTCTCGTCACAGGCTTTCTCATGCTCCTCATCATGGCGATGCTCGGGATTGAACTATGGCGGGTCAGTTTGCCATTGTCAATAAGGGGGCATTGAGAAGTAGATCTTACCAAGTTTGCAAACTTGCCAATTTTATGCTTCGTGTGAACCATGTGAACCTTGGTATCGTGAAGATGGTGGTTGTGGCTAAGTTTGGCCTTGAGATCATGAAATGGGAGTTTGATCTTGTCCCCCAGGCTGTGGCGATGCTCGCCAGAGACTTTACCAGTAGCAGATGAGTGGGCCATTGTTGTGATGGTGGCAGTTCTCAGATTGTTTGACAAGCAGGTGCTGAAAGGTGGTTAGTTAGTGATTGGGGAAAGGCCGGTTTTAAGGCCAGTCCCTCTCTTCAAGAGGTTGGCATCTGGTGTGGGCGGCGGGATGTCGTGCGATGATGACGGCCGGTTTAGGCGAGCAAGTTCAAGGGAACAAGGCAGAGGCACAACACCAAGAAGACTGGACATGTGGACGTGCCGACTTCCGTTCGGGAATAGGTTCAAAATTCGCAAAGAGTTGGGGAGTTGGCGGGGGACGGGAGCTGGGACGGGGGACTGGGATGCCTCGAGACCCTTAAGGTAGCAGATATTCTCGAGGGGTCGTCATTGGCTTTGTCGGGGGCATGAACTGTATAACGTCCCATCAAGAAACAAGTGCATCAGTCCTCGGCTTACGAGCGGCTCTAAAGTGGAGGGGGCCGTCGTTTGGTAGGTAGCCTGGAAAACAGCTGTGGACGGGCTTGGGAGGTGCGCGGCGCCGCCTGGATGACGTCATGTTAGGAGGATGCAATTGTGAGTGAGTGAGTGCACTTGAGGTGGGAGAGATGGGACTAGGAAAGTAATGGCCATTCTGCCAAGGTTCGAGAACTATTATAAGCTTTATTCAATATCGAAGGTGAAAACGAGACGAATCAGCTGGCAGGATGGGGTGCTTCCTCAGCTGCCCTGTCCCAGCGAGAAGTGACTGCGCATCATTCGACCTTTCCTGCCCATGACCTTTTCTTTGTGCCCGAGGGCTCTTTGAGGGTTGGAAGATAGCAGTGCTTGTTTGATTTGAACCCCGTATCTCTCCTTTCAAAAACAAGTGCCCATGCGACGGCGATGTCCGCATTTGCCAAGAGATTGGTCGCAACATCACACCTTCACCTTCAGACACACGTGATGGATGCTCACCTTCCAAGCCAACGGTGAAGCGGCTGCGGGGGCGGGGTAACTCCCTGTCCTGTTAGGGGCGAGGGCGGGGCAGCGGCTAGTGTAGCGGTTAGGGGTCCGTCGGGCATGTTCCAGCTCCCGTCCAAGGCTCAATTGACCGCCTCGTGTTCCATGTTCCTGCACCGAACCCCCAGCTTATCTCGAGTCGAGTCCAACCCTCAACCAACCTTCAACCAACCTTCACCATCCAAAACACCACCATGGCCGCCGCCGCCGTTGTCCAAATCCCCGTCGGGGCTACCTTCCTTAAGACCTTCAAGAAGTCCTTCGTTGATGTCCCAATCGATGCTGAGAAGGGCAATGCCATCTCCACCGCCGAGTTCCTTGAGGCGGCCGAGTCCTTGACCACCATGTTCGATGTGCTCGGCTCCATCGCCTTCACCCCCGTCAAGACGGATATGTTGGGCAACGTCGAGGTGCGCTGCTATTATACCCGTTGGTTAGGACGTCAGCTAACCACCCTTTCCTGCTAGAAAATTCGCAAGCGCATGCTTGCCGCCCCCCTCGCATCCCAGAACATCCAGGATCTTGTGAGGAACGAGCTCAAGACCAAAAGCCATACCGCGACGGAGGGGTTGCTGTGGCTGGTCAGGTGAGGGCGCCTTGATCTGTTCCATAACCAAGCCAAGTTACTGACAGTGGTCTGTGACAGGGGTCTCGAATTCACATGCATTGCTCTTAGCAAGAACATCAACTCAACAGAGGAGCTCGCCGACTCCTTCCGCGGGTCTTACAGTGAGACTCTCATGCGACACCACAGCTTCCTGGTGAAGCGCATCTTCAGCGCCGCCATGGGCGCGTGCCCATACCGCAAGGACTTCTACGCCAAGCTTGGTGACGACGAGCAAAAGGTTCAAGAGGAGCTTCGCGAATACCTTGCTGCTCTCGACAAGATCGTCTACATTCTCAAGGGATTCTTGGAGAGCAAGGAGGCCAAGTGGTAAACGGTGGGGAAAACCATTTTCGGGGGACGCAAAAAGCATACGCATCTGATACGGGATAATACCTACCCATGCCACACACATGCAATTCTCACTCAAATTGCCAGAGCTCAGCTCAGGTCCCAGCTCTCAGCTCTCAGCTCCCAGTCACTGCCGAGCCTCACCACCGGCTGTGCTCCGCTCTGTGTAGTCTTCACTAGATAGGAGCTCAAACATGGTACCATCCCCCACCATCAACTACACCACGTCTCACTTGTATGTAGTGCAAAGAGCTCCACCATCGTCCACAAGGAAATGATATATTCTGCAATATCACCACGCAGGTAGCCGAGGCGCAGGCCCGCAACTGCTCGCATCTCGCTGTGCTCTGACAGTGGCAGTTTGGGGTGTCCCCTGAAGGTCTGTCTCAGATGGCCTCAAAGTCTTGGCAGACGACGTCATCGCGAAAATGCAGCCGCTGAAGCATCTGGCGAGGCAAACAAATATGAGCTACGGGCTTTTGTAGGTTTAATATCAGGTCCAGCCATTGGTTACACTACCTGGGGGGAATGCAGATTGACTGAGCGCACTCTGCCTGATGCCTATCTTAGGACGCCATCACGTTGGACTGGTTCCACAGAATGATGTGTGTGACTGAACAGCCACACGGTGACCATGGAGCGGCCAACTAGCGACGGGACGGACTTGGGGCCGGCAAAGAGGCATGACGGGCGTCGGCAGACGGGTCCCAGAATTTCTGTGGCAACATCTTGGCTGGTGTTGCAAAGTGACTTTGGAGCCGCGCCTCATCCATGCGCAAACGCGGTGGGAGACGGAACTCGGTATGTACAAGTCTAAGACTTGAAAGTTTGTTAGCTCGGGCGCTCGGACCAGCAACTTTAAACAACCATATCTTTTGGCTTATAATACCTACAACGAAGCGGAAAAATAGCTAAAATAGATGAGTAAAGGTTCTCGAGTTTGTAAATACCCTTTTTTCCGCGTAAAAATTGGTGCTTGTAGAGAAAGTTGTGAAGTTGTTGGAAGACGCCGCCACTTTAACGAACTTGGAGTGTATTCTCACACAGTCCGGCCACTCATATCCTGCCACTACTCGTAAAGTGCCAGCTAGGTAGCCAGCTCGGTAGCCAGCTAGTTTTGTGGCAGCCAAGGACCGTGTTCCACAGCGAGGCAGAGTATATGCCCGAGCTGCCCAAGGCTGCTTTTTGCAGAGGCAGAACTTCCCGGTCAAGAGGATGGATGCCATTCAGTCCAATCCCACAGCGGGAGCGCTGCCCACTCACATGCAGTCACTGCAGTCTCCCCCACCTGCAGCCCAAGCCCCGCCATTGGTAGGTACCTCTGCCCCCCCAGAACTTATTAGACGCTGGACCCCAGCCTCACCGGCCAGCTTCCGTCGCCCGACTTCTGTCCACGCTCTGGCTTTCTGCCTTTATTCTTAACCCTCCCCTTTCGACCGCCGCCGTCCTGCAGCAGAGCTGTTGTCGAAATGGAGGCGATCAGGAAGCCCGGGAAGCCTAAGAAATCGGCATCCAAGAGCACCATACTCGGCTGGTTCCAGGGCACCAAGAAGACAGCCAAGGGCAGAGGAAAGTCGAAGAAAGCGCTGTCGCGAGCGGTGCCCATCCTGCAGCTCCCCCCAGAACTCATCCTCCTTGTCCTCGGACTGCTCGATATTACCGATCAGCTCGCCTTCAACCGCACCAACAAGTGGTTCTACTCGGTCATCAATACAGAAATCTACGCCAGAAATGTCCGCTTCGGCGGCTCAACCTGCATGTTCTGGGGTGCCGAGCATGGCAGGCTGGGCACCCTGAAGCATGCCCTCGCTGCGGGGGGGAATCTTGATGCTTCGGGGCCGCTGGCTCGCAAGGCAAAGGGGTCGGCGGCGAGCGACACGGAGACAGAAGACAGCGACAATGACAACACCGACGGCGATGACACTAACGATGACGATGCCGATGTCGTGCCAGCGACGCGCACGCTGGACTCCAAACTCCAGCCTTATGCCACCCCACTCCACCTCGCCGCCAAGAATGGCCATCGCGATGTCGTTATCTGGCTGCTCGACAACGGCGTTGATATCAATGCGCCCTCGTTCCGGGTCTGCTCCTGCCACGCCATGAAGTTTGACAGGAATCCCCTGCGAAGGGCTGCCGACTGGCCGAGATGGCGGCCTCTGCACACTGCCATGTGTCACAACGAACGACTGGTGGCCGAGCTGTTGATTCACCGCGGTGCGTCTCTCAGCCTGGATGCCACCCCGGAACACAACCACATGGCCTTGCACACGGCTGCCGCCAACGGGTTGGTTCCCGTCATCAAGCTCCTCGCTCTCAACGACCCCGACCTCGATGCCAACCAGCGTGATCGGTGGGACAACACAGCTCTTCACTATGTTGCCGAACTCTTCAGCGCCCGCGGCTCTGCCGACATCCGAGACACCATCGCCAAGCTGCTGGCCCTCGGCGCTGATCTCGAGGCTCACAATGAGCGTGGTCACACGCCGCTGTTGAATGCATGCTTCAGAGGCAATTTTGCCGTGGCACACAGGTTGGCCAGCATCGGGGCCAATCCCGACCCGCATCGATACATCCGTAAGTTCCGAGACATTCGGCCTCTCTACTTTTGCACCCTGCCACGAGCCGACTTCTTCAACCTCGACGACGCTCCAGTGAAGCACGATGAATTCGAGGGAAATCGGGTCTCGCTCATCCGGGCACTGGTGGAAGGCGGGGCTAGGGTTGACGCACGCTTCGACAAACGTGGCCATCGTGAAGCCACGGCACTAATGTTGGCCTGTGAGCTCGCTGAACCACGAGCTGTTGCTATGCTAGTCAGGTGCGGCGCCTCGGTCAATGCGCAAGATCGCAGTGGCAGGACGCCGCTGTATTATGCGTGCTCAGTCAGGGTCGATCACCGCGGCGAGGTGGCAGAAATAGCCGTGCTCCTGATTCGTCATGGTGCCCGCATGGATTTGGAGGAGGAACCGATGAGCAGCCCGCTTGACTGGGCTGTGATGCAGCTGCGGTGGACGGAGGACAGGATTTTGCAGGAGATGCTCAAGGAGGCCAACGAAAACAGCGTTACCAGGCCGAAACTGAAGGCTGCTCTGAAAAAGTGCGCCTCCAGCGGGAACTACAAGGCTCTCAAGCTGCTGCTAACGTTTGCCGACGAACACTTTGACGTTACAGATCGGGACGTTAAGTTCTATCTCGACCTCATCATTGAGCAAAGCGACCCGTGGAATCAAGTGGAGACGCTGGAAACAACTCTCAATTTCGGGAGGGCCGTATACAGCAACGAGATGCTTCTTCTCAAGACGATTATGCAAAAGAACAAGGCCCTCAGCATTGCCGTCTTGAACCGCTTCGTGTCTGTCAGTGAACCAACCTTTCTCGGTGGCCAGACATACCTGCATCTTGCATGCCAGTGGGGAGAGGTAGAGGTTGTGAAGCAGCTTCTGGAGAGGGGTGCGGACGTGGACGTGTTTGATGATGAGCTGAGAACGCCTCTGTCGATCGCCGTCACGGAAGACCACCCCAACGTCGCCGCTTGCCTCATGAATGAGGTGGCTGATCCGTACCTGGTGCCGTCGGATGATGTGCTCCAGAAAATTTATGAGGATGACCCTGGTGAGTGGCGCTACATGAAGAAGAGGTTCCTCACATCGTTCGACCTCGCCGTCCGAGAGAGCAGAATCTCTATCATTAAGGAGATACTCATGCGGTACAACCTACCACCAATACCGCCTCGCCAGTGGAAGGGCAGCTATCTTTACCGAGCCTGTCAGAATCCGAATCTGACACCGCTGAAACTGATCCTGGAACGACTAGAAGACTCGGAGGCGGCAGAGATGTGCTCCATGAGTATCCTCAAAGATGTTTGGAGTGAAAAGATCAGGATGGACGTGGCCGTGAGTGCACTGCAAGCGGCCAAGCTGCTGACGGACGTAGCTGTGGTGAGACACTCGCCTCAGTTCTGGGAGCTGGTGCAGGAGATAGCCATGTGGGAGGGGGCAGACCTACACAAGCTTACGATTTGGGATATGATAATGAAGGAAATGAGGCTAAAAATCACGTCTTGCCATGACAAGGTGGAGGGCGATCTGGCGGACGCAGAATTCCCAAAAGGAACGGGCAAGAAACCGATGGTCTCCATAACACCCGACATGACAGACGAGGAACTTCTCGAGTGCGGAATACCGATTCCCAAAGATTGAAGGGGGGACGAAAAAAACAGTATTACAGGAAGGATGGGTGGTACCGAGTGTTTACATAGACGCGCACATACACAGGGGAATCTGGGTTTCGGCGGATTTTCCTTTTCATTTGCTGGAAAACAAGAGTAAGGAGGGATATTCAACGGATATGGTGTTTTCTCGTGCCGGGTCGGCTGATCAAGATGCACCACTCACATATTTGGGAACCACAGCACATAAACTGGACGATGGTAATGACATGGTATGGGACTTCAAGGCTGGGAGGGATGGGGGCGTTTCGGAAGAGTGATATGAGCGAGCATCTGTTCTACTACACCTTGCTTTGCTCTTGGTCATATGGTATTCTAGACATGGAAAACAACTGGTCACTGGAGGATTGTGAGCTAACAAATATTGATGTCTTTTCATGCCCGACGCTCGTCAAGGGCGTCGATCACTACCTTTTGCACCTACTGACTACTCAAGAACCATACGCTTGTCAGTAAATCGGCTCCCTAATTTCCTATAAGACGGAGGAGCCCTTTTTATTTCTCTACCCAAGTGGCCAGCCACCTCATGGAGTTCTGTCGGATAGGTAGGTATGCTCAAAGTTCAAAGCGACGTGCATTCTGCATCCTTCCGCCAGCTTGATAGGTCAAAGCCTGGAACAATTGTCACCAACAACAAACAAAGCCCGTGTGGCGCAATTGGTTAGCGCGTCAGACTTTTAATCTGAATGTTGCGAGTTCGAGTCTCGCCATGGGCGATATCTTTTGCTATAAGATGATCTTGACAACACAAATCCATCTCTCCATCATTTTTTGTGCATCATCACAATCACATCTCGGCATTTTCGGAATTTGTTTGCGACCCTGTTGGTGTGAACCAACACACAAACAACCCAACATGCAACAGGAAAATAGGGGCTCAGGGGCCTAGCTTGACAGTTCTCTGTGCCGACTTTTTATTTTGTAACGACGCATATCACGATCTGGTCACACGTGAAGCTGCGGAACTGTAGTACCATATCGCCTCCCGAATATAGAAGTCTTTGGTGATCCGAACGTCGAGATACAGCAGAGGATACGGCCTTCCACGAAGGTTACGGCATCAACACGCCCTTCATAACACCATGTCATTCAATGTAGATAAAAGGACCACGCTTTATCCTAGTTAGACCTTGACTTGATATCTACGGAGACACCATTATGCATCCTTGTAGCTCCCGCAATTCCCAAGAGATACGCCGGATAGGTAAGGCAAGCATGGGATCAGTAACCACCTTATTCGCGGAAAGCTGCTCGCAGATCTGCATCGACAATTTCTTGGTTATTGAAGTCGGACTGTCTCTTTTCAATCGTAAGACAGACAGACAGGCCTTGGTTTTCAAGAGTCCGATGGTGGGATTGCATGATGCGAGATCGGCTCACGTGCATATCGAACCCTCCGAATCAGTACGACTCTCGTACAGATTGCCACCGCAAGACGAGATACGGGGATTACGGTTGCCCACGACGAAGAATCATTTGCAGAAACCCGAGAAAGAGAGGCAGGAAGGAAGGAATACAGTACAGTCATTCACGCGGACGCCTGACTCTACTACAACTACGACGTGATGCTTACACCGGGCCAGTGCCGATCGTATACCAGAGACGAAAGTTCGGGCACTTTCGTCAACTATTGGCGTTGAACGGTGGGTGAGACATTGGCTCGTTGTAGTAGCTCGTAACCCATAGCCCAATGGCATCCAAAGACGTTTCCCCCCCCATGTCGTGCCGGCCCGTTGTGCGATGAAGTCGGGTGCCCCCCCCCTGCCATGAATAATAAATACCCAAGTCCCCGTGCAACACCTCTTCCCACCTTCGTCTCCGGTGTTTTCAAGAACGACACAGTGGTAGACATGACTATCATTCCCATGCCGCCAACTATGGATATTAGCGTCATCATTGTAGGAGGAGGGCCGGTTGGACTGACAGCAGCCCACGCATTCTCCAAGCTCGGGATCGACTTCACCCTTCTCGAGCGCCGCGACATTATCGCCGAAGATGTCGGCGCCAGCATCGTTCTATGGCCGCACGGAATACGCATCATGGCTCAACTCGGCTTGCTGGACCAGCTGTTGTCCATTGGTACAGGATTAATGTCGGGTACATTTCAAACCGTAAATGGCAAAGCCTTTCTTCGGACAAGCTCTCCCCAACTGTGCAAGACCAAGTAGGTCCTTGATATCCGCAAAACCTGGTTGAAGGTCACTCATCACAACTCCCACAAAAAGCCATGGAATCTACCCCCAATGCTTCGCCCGCGCGGAGCTCATCTCCACTCTCTACAACACCCTCCCCCCCTCGGCCCGATCCAGAATCCACACCTCCAAAACCGTCACATCCATCTCTTCTGTTCCTGGCGGCGGCATCCAAGTCCTCTGCTCAGACGGCACCTCCTACACGGGAACCTTCACCCTCGGCGCAGACGGAATCCACAGCGTAGTCCGCAAAACCATCCTCTCCCTCTCCCCCCCTCCCATCACCCCGTCCCCGTTAAAAACGCGCTACTCCCTCCTCTGGTTCTCCCTCCCCCTCCTCCCCACCATCCCGGCCAGCTCCGCCTTCGAAGTCCACTCCAAAAACCTCTGCCTCCAAGTCCTCGCAAACGAGAAATCCAACGTCCAATTCTGCTTTCTCTACCAACTCCTCCCCCCTGATCACTCACCCTCCAAGAAATTCACCCAGTCCGATATCGAAGCCATCATCTCCCGCCCTGATGTATCTTCCCTCCCACTGGGGGGGTCCGGCCTAACAGTCAAGGACGCATGGCCCTTAAAGTTAAAATGCGGCATCACACCGCTAGAAGAAGGCATCCTCAAGCCGGAGTGGCATTTCGGAAACCAGATGGTTCTCGTTGGGGACGCGGCGCACAAAGTCACGCCGACGATTGGGCAGGGGCTGAACATGGGCTTGTTGGATGTGGTTTCGCTCGCAAATCAAGTGTCCGAGTTCGTGGGCTCTGCCGGGTCCAGCCGGGAGAAAGTTTTGGGGGGTTTGGATGGGGCGTTTAGACGGTACCGAGCCGAGAGGCTTGAGAGCGTGGAGGAAGATTACAAGAGGTCCGGGCTGGTGACGAGGCTGACCTGCTGGCGGGATTGGCGGTTTAAACTGTTCGACAGGGTGGTGATGCCGATTCCGGGGGTCGATGTCCTGCTTGTGAACAAGGTTAACTCGCCCATCATGGCGAAGGGCCTTGTGTTTAGGGGGATAAGAGTGGAGAGGGAACCATTTGAGGGGAGGGTCAAATGGAAGGAAAAGATGCCGCTTCTAGACAAAACAGCGCATGATGAGGAGAGAAAAGAGAGTGGGGGATGAGAGTACTTGATGAGGGCCTCTTGGGCAGGCGGCAATGGTAGAAAATGAAAAAGACGCATTGTAATACCTAGGATTCATTGTCTTCCCAAACAAGATAAACTCGGGGTATATAAGTAAGGTTAAAAGCCACAAGAAACCGAATGACTAATGCACCAGAAATCGACGCCATGCCCATTTTATGTAACCACCCTCGCCCCGACACGAAAGAAACCCATCACCCGAGGTTGAACTCGCTTGCCGAGTTCATCGACAACATCTTCATCTTGGCCTTCATCCTCTTAGCCGCATCCTCATCCACCTGGCCAAACTCGTCATCATCAAACTTGCTCTTGCTGCCACCGCTAGGTTTGGCAGCCCCAGAAGCGCTAGCCCCACCACCCTTCTGCCCGTTGGTAGCTGGCGTAAACTTGTGTGTCCTCCTCGAGATACCCGATCCAATGCCACCGGGCGCCTCGCGCAGACCGAACGCCTTGGCCATGTGTCCAAGATGCAGTTGCGTCATGTCAAAGTAGACTCTCTCTTCGCGGACGTGAGTGGCATAAGCTCTGATGTGAGACCTGAAAGCTTGTCTGCCGGCATCAAGCAAGGGGTTGTCCTTCTTCACTGGCTGCCTATTCTTTCCGCCGGTCTTGCTGAATTTACCCTTGTGGCCTTTGGGTCCTTCCTCGGCATCCTCGAATCCGGGCGCGGGCGCCAAAAGACGCTGTTCAAAATGCAGCTGAAGAGCCTCGGCACGAGTGGCCCACGTCTCCCGCTTGTTGCTTTCCGTCTCGGCATTGTTTGTTTGTGAGGAGGCTGGAAGGTTGACATTCGTGGCAAAGCCTTTCTGCAAGATTGATTCATAAAGCTGGGGTGTTATGGTGGCGGAGGATGGCAGGATGCTGGTGTATCCTTCCTCAGGACCAGGGAGCAAAAAGAGAACCGCTTTACCAGAACGACCAGCTCTGGCGGTACGGCCGATGCGATGAACGTGATCAGGCACCGCAAAGGCGGGATCGTACTCAATAACCAGGTCGACGGCCGGCACATCGAGACCACGAGATGAAATGTCTGTCGTGATGAGAACAGCCGGATCCTTGCACCCCGAGAAAGCCTTTAAAGTAGCACTGCGAACCGGTTGCGCCAGGGAACCATGAAGTTTATGGAGCATTACCCTGGTGTTTGCGGGTGAGGTGATATAGGCAGCCGGTGCCACCGTGGTTTCGATGTGAACATCCGGTTTTTTTGCTGGTGCGTCACCCTCTTGGGCTGGTGGTGGTGGTTCGACCGTCACGGTGTCTTTCAGGACCTCGTAGTGAAAGTCGACCGAATCAGCGCAAGAGATGAAGATGATTGCCTTCATAACCGACCCCTTCCTCGCAAATGTCGACTTGAGCAACGCAATCAATGTGACCAGCCTCAACTTGGCTGGCACAATGATACACGACTGTTTCAGCTGCGCAGGCGCTGTGAAAGCAGACTCAGTGCTTCTACTGTTTTCCGCAGCATCCTTTTCCATCTCCGACTTGGAAGCGGTAATGTGCACCGCATCCTCCAGACTGATCTCGCCCAATTTCTGAACGTTCATCTTCATGGTAGCCGAGCACAGAACCGTGACCCTCCTCTTTGGCAGCACTCCATCCAGTACCAGCCCCTCAGAGTTCTTGGTTGCAAGCTTGTCCGCCCTAATTTTGCCAACAATCGCCTTGATATCGTCCTCGAAACCCATCTCCATCATCCTGTCGCCTTCGTCCAGCACCAACCATCTCACAGTTCCTACATCCAGCACCTTTGTATTATCCAAGTGATCCGTCAGTCTTCCTGGAGTCGCAACCAAGATGTTGACACCCTTCCTTAACCTCGCCTTTTCCGAATGCTTGCTCTCTCCACCGATAACAGTGGTGCAGACTAGCCATGGCGCGCACCTGAGAACCTTCTCGAGGACTGCTGAGATTTGCTTGCAGAGTTCTCTTGTGGGCGCAAGGATGATCGCAAAGAGTCCCGAATTTCTATGTACCTTGGCATCCTTTTTGGGAGTGCCGTCCTCGTTCATACTGAGCTCCATGATTCGATGAACAATGGGCAACAGATACGCCAGCGTCTTTCCGGAACCGGTTTCTGCTTGAAGGAACGCATCGCTGTCGTCTTTGATAAGCACGGGAATTGTGTTCTTCTGAATCGCCGTCGGGGCTTTCATCTCAAGCTTGGTGGCCAGGTGGTGGGCTACTCGTCTCGCCAGGCCGAGTGTGTGAAAGTTCTCTGCTTCTTCGCTGAGGGGCGCATTGGAAGGTTTTGCCGGCTCGGCGGGTTCGGCGGGCGCTTCTTCGTCGAACTTGGTCACGACGGTGGGGATCGAAGTGAACAGGCTTGAAGAGACAAGACCGGTCTTCATGGCGTGGGTTGGCACCCAGGGGATGTCACTTGTCCTGGGCGCTTTCGCCGGTCTGTGATCGCTGCTATCGTCGTTACCTCGTGGTCTTTTAGTAGGTCGATTCGGATCATAGGGCGCTCGTGGTTTGGCAGCTGGCTCGGGGCCTCCTTGCGATGCGGCTTTCGCCGACTTGTTGGCTTTAACGCGGTCTCTCCAGCGGCCGCCCTTGAACTTGACCTGGCTGACGAGAGGCGCATCGCCAATCTCAAAGTTCAGGAGCATTCCATCGTCGGCCATTTTGCTGATTGGTGTTTTGGCGGAGTTTACTCGCCTTGGTTGGACGGGGAAGGTTTTGGTTGGAACGTGTCGGCAGAAAAAAAGTTGGACCAGAGCTGGGACCCCGCGACCGACCATCAAAAATTAAGTGGGTCCCGAGCAGCATCGCTTGTGGAGACACTACGGCTGCCAAACTTGTGCAGGTTGAAGGTAACACAACGACGTGCACATCTTCCCCTTATCCGTACAGTGATCATACTCTGTAGAACATCAGTGGGAATAATAATTAAGATTACACATTGACTACGGTATTAAACCAGCCATGCTAAATACGTCTCGGTCATCATCTCATACACACCCATCCTCCTTTGCCCTCATGCACATATCGTTGCGCCGATATGTTGAGCCCCGTGCTCATGTCGATGCCAAAACCCTGAATATCCTATCTCGCTACTTGGAAGTCCCGAAATACGACGATGAGGCGTCCCATGGTCCTCGCTTGTCACCTTGGAAGCCAGGTTCTCTGCAAATGGCGATCGTTTCCGGAGCTCTGGTCCGTAGTAGTAGATGGCGTAGACGGCGCAGACAAGGAAAAGGGAGATGCAGAACAGGATGGTGCTCGCAATCTCTAGGTGTTTCGAACCTCCGATATTTGTGTAGAAGGGCGTCGCCGGTACTGTGAGAACGCCTGCCAGGAAGTCCCGGGACCAACCATTCCCGCCCGTCGCCGAAGCTGAATACGGCCCGTACGCGCAGATCATGTACTGTAGTGTAGTCAGCATCTTGGAATGTGGGACAAAGCAATGTGCAACTTGCATCAATCGTGGCCATGTATATGGAGTAGTTGGCAATGCCAATGATGGCAGATCCGACCATGGTTCCGATCCAGTGCACCGGCGGGCCTCCAGATGTCCAGGCAAATATGACTAGACCAAGTGGCAGGCATGGTGCCGTATAGAGCAGCCACCACAACCTCGATTCATACTGGGCGTGTTCATCGCCAGGCTTGAGTGCTCTTTCCTTTCTGTTTCGTCGGATGGCTGGGATAAACGAGATCCAGGCAATGATGTAACCAATGCCAATAGGAACAAACGCCAGCCCGATGTCCACAGCCGAAAACCCCCATTGTCTGTAGACCAGCACAAATGATTGGATCTGCATGAAGATCAGGGCGTCCGAGAATCCAGAGAGCAAGGACAGCGTGAGAACGATAGGCTCAGTAAGAAACATCCGGAATGGGCGCACCCATGTCCAGATTAGCTCCTTGAAGGTAAAGCGCTGCCAGAAAGGCTCGATCTCGTTGGGCCCGTAGAGGTTGGGCGACTGTCCAGACTTGCGACGTTTCTGAGCAATCCTGTCCAGCAGGATGGTCGTTCTAGTTTCTGGCACAAAGATGAGATGCAGAAGTTGAACAAACACGCCGAAGATTAGCTGAATCCAAATGGTCCATCTCCAGGGCAGATATTCTTCAGCAAACCCGCCAATGATAGGCCCCAGGATAGAGCCGCCGACAGAGGAAAACACAATGTAGGCGACGGCGCACTGTTGCTCATTCGGTTCGAAGATGTCTGCAATCATTCCCAAGGTCACACTTCCGCCAGCGGAAGATAAACCTCCTAGCGCACGACCGACCATGAGGGAGGCAAAGTTTGGTGCCAGGGCAACCGGAAGACACCAGATATTGACCAGCCCGAGGGATAGCTGGAGGATAGGCTTTCGTCCGAATTCTTCCGACCATGGTGCCCAAAGCTCGCACCCGAAGGCGTAAGTGATGAGGAAAACTGCAGCTCCAGCACGAGCTGCCTGGGCGCTGACCCCAAACTCCTGCGATATCCCGTCGATTCCATTCGAGTAAAGCGAGGTGTTGAAGTTCATGGAGGTCTGCACCAGAAAAATGATGGTGAGGATGGTCCATTTCTTCCTCGTTGGGAAACAAAATCCCAACTCTTTCCATGCATCTTCCTCCTTCAGCTCGACCTTGTCTGTTGGAGGAGCGTCGGTTGTGGAGAATTGGCGAGCGGGTGCGACTGTCTTGCTGGGCGGAACAGCGCCGGTTATCTCGTCATGGCTGGTATCTGGTCGGTCTGGAGCAGACGCTTCGGGGTCAGTTTGGTCGGAATCCGCGTGGGTTTGCTTCTCTGGATCCTCTCCAAGACGGTCATTCGATATTTGCGACATGACGTCACTGGACGAGTATTCAAGGGGTATGTAAGGGTCCTATTGATCCCGTAGGGATAACGAGTGACAACTGGAAAAGGAAGAAGGAAACGAAGTGAAAGTCCCTGCATTCAGAAATGTCATGGGGAAGAGGAATTCCAAAACGAATATACGTTCTGCCTATGAAGGCGAACAGCATCACTTGATGACATCGGTTTGCGAACTCTTGGGCGGAACGCCATCACACATCACACGAGCTGCCAAAGCTCCGTCGCTTTCCAGAAGAACCCGATCATGAATCGCGCTGCGTTGAATGTTGTTCCTGGAAGAACGAAACAGGCCACGCAAGCCGCACACCTGTTTATGACCCCGAAGAGGGGCAAAACGACGCGCAGGGGCCTTGGGTGCGGATGGTTTTCGCGACGGTGGAAGCCAAGTAGAAGGACCGGGAGCAGGGAGGAAAGCAGCGGTGGGGAGGCATTCGATTTGCCGCTGAACGGTATAAGAAGTAAGCCAGATAATGAAGAGAATCCAGGATTACAACACTCCATACTTGAAGTATGAGAGGCAAATAACTGTGCAATATCGGCTGTCTTGTGACATTTCGAGTTTGGATCGACGTTGGATCTCGAGAGATGAAAAGCGTTGCTAAGCCTATGCCAAGATAGTCGCCGATTGGTGGTGGGGTCACGCTAGCGGGCAGGGGACCCGGAGATCCACAGCGTCCACCTTCCTGTTCTCCACATTTCACTTCACATCATGAGCTTCAATGACCCAGTCCTTGAGATATATGTCCGAATGTAGCTCGCAAATCTGTACTACTTCGTTTTATCAATGCCCCACGAGCGAGCGAGCCAATGACGTGTAAGCCTGGCAGGGAATTCAACGTCGGGCGAGTGGTCAAGAGCGAGCCGACAGAGTCGGTGTCGGCATTCTGATGTCCCGCTGCAGGCTGACCAACGGCAGTATCGCCAGTCAGGTCGGACACGAGTGACTGTTGTCGGATCCGATCTGGGGCTCAAAGGATAGAGGAAGTAGAGGGATGCGGCTAGGTAGGTACCTGGGTCATAAAAGTAACCGTATCGCCGGTTGCAGCAACTGGACTTCCCCAAACACCGACTCCGAAACGTGCGCCCTAAATATATTAGCCAGAGAGAACTTGACGGGCCCAAAACAGTGATCGTCTATTCTCTGGTCTCGGTGTTCCGGACCAGCTCCAGGGCAACTGACAGTCCCAGAGGTCTTATTTAATCAAACCACCATCAGATCGACTTGCCCTTCAACATGCCCCCCATCAACAACCTATTCCGGCCCTTTTTTGCCCAAAACACCAGGCTTCTCCGTCAACCCTTCTCAACACCTAGACGCGCCGAAGTAATGACGACCCAGGTCGCTTTCGCAGCCGCCGCTGTTGGCATTGGCGCCTATGTGTACATGAGAAGCGGTGCCACTGCAGCTCCCGCCACGTCGGCCACGGGTGCCAGCAGCGACACCACAAAGCCATACTTCAGCGGCTTCGGATTCCGCACCCTCAAGCTGCACAGCTCCGAGGTCGTCAACCACAACACCAAGAAGCTCCGCTTTGAGCTTCCAGATCCGAATCAGTCGAGCGGCCTTACCCTCAGCTCCGCTCTCTTGACTGTCTCTTTTCCCCCTACGAACGGCCGGTGGACTCCCGTGATCCGGCCTTACACACCCACCAACCCTCTGGACGAGCCCGGGTTTGTCGAGTTGACGGTCAAGCTCTACCCCGACGGAAAACAAAGCGGATACTTGCACTCCCTCAAGCCTGGCGACATCATCTCCTGCCTTCGGATACCCGAATATGTCTGGCAGCCCAACAAGCACGATCATGTCGCTCTGATTGCCGGTGGCGCTGGCATCACGCCCATGTACCAGCTCATCCAGGGCATCTTGGCCAACCCCGAGGACAATACCAGGATCACTCTCGTTTGGGGTGTTAACGGTGACAGGGATATATTCCTCAAGAAGGAGTTTGCCGAACTGCAGTCAAAGTACCCAGGGAGATTTAGAGCCGAGTATGTTGTTTCCCAGCCAGAGGCCGGCTCGACGTATCGCAAGGGATATGTGAACGGGAAAGTACTTGAGGAACTCGGACTGGGCGCCAATGAGGCGAAGAACAAGAGCATCAAGGTCATGATTTGTGGGCCGCCGGCGATGGAAAAGGCATTGAAGGGGGGCAAAGGCCCGTTTGCCAACAAAACTGGCGTTCTCCACGAGCTGGGCTACAAGCCTGATCAGATTTACAGTTTTTAAGTGCGGGAATGACTGAGGGTGCTGAGTGTATGATTATAGGCTAGGGAATACCAGGTTCTGATTTACACATCAAATTCATGGACGATTGTTGAAATCAGTTGTGCAAGAATTGGCACAGTGCTGTAGGCCTCACCCAGCACCAAGGCCAGATCGCTCCTTCTTGACAAATCTGATCGTTCCACCTTTTGTTGCTGCCAGCCTTCACTCTTGTCAAGATTCAACCCAAGTGTTTTCCAGTTTTTGTTGCTGGCGCCATTCATCCTCTTGGTTTTTCACCTCGGGCCTTCACTTTACCTATGTTATCTACATCCATTTTAGCCCGCTTGAAATCTTCACCATACGGCACCGATTATCCATCACGACTATCCATCAAACTGCCGTGCCACATGCCTTTTCGACTTCCCCTCAAGCATCTTCCCTCGCGATACCTCTCCACCGCTCCCGAATTTGCCAACCGCCTCAAGACCATCAACCTAGAAGTCGAACGGAAAGTCCCATGCCTCGCCATTCCCACTCTGAGCGACCCTTCGCTCTGGTCCAACCCCGCCTTCATTTCTGTTGATCCTCTTCCGTTCAAAATCTTCCACGATGTTTACTACGACAACAATGATACCTTGAGCTCCCACGGTCTCTGGGTTCGGCAGAGAAATGGTGTGTGGCAGGCCAAGGTCAACCCATCAGTCAGGAGAGGACGGGCAAACACAAGATTCGAAGAGTTACGGATAGAATCTGATATTCAAAAGGCTGTCGAGGCTATCACCAGAGTGGAGGCGCAAGCCACAGCCAATTTCGGGCTGAACAAGATGGCTGACTTTACAACCTACCGAGAAGGGTGGAGAGTGGATGGCGACTTTATGGTTGTGAGAGACAATACTAGCTTCGGGTGGGGCGTCGTTGAAATTGAGCTGGAGGAACAGATAAAGTGTGTGGGGGGAGAGGAAGTCGATGAAAAGTGGAAGGAGAGGAAGATGGATGAGATGGATAGGAGAATCGAGATGTTCATGGAGAAGTATAGTTGGGCATGGGGTAAAGGGCAGGTGAAGGGGAAGCTGAGTGCTTACTTGGACATGACGAGGGGGATCAGAAGTGGAAGGGTGAGGTAGTGTCGTACAGTCACCTCAAGATAAGAGCATGTGCCAGGCATTCAAGGTCGCGGAAGCTTGATTATAGCCATTCAGATAGAGTTTTGCTTCGAAGAGTCATCGTTCTGGGTGACCGCAATCCTCTATCTCGGGTGGCATAACCTTAAGTGGAAATTGCTTTTGTAGATGTGAGAGCATAAAAGTCACCAGACCGCAAAGCTGGAAGCACTCCCACAACTTTATATAACCAGCTCTTTTTCCTAAGCCCTATATAACCATCCTCTTTTCTCAAGACCCTTTTTCTTTTTCCCCACGCCACACATCACACTGGTACACTGGAGAAACAAGCCTGGCATTTCAGAGTGCTCACCACAAGACCACAACCTCACCACACCACCAAAATCCCATCACAATACCAAAATCCTCATTCCAGTACCAACCGACGCATAATATCTGCCACACCTCAGCTAATCCCCGCAACTACCTACTCAACCCACGCCAAAGACGAGCATCAACCCCATCAAAGATGTGCCAATACATCACCCGACTCTACCCCTGCGGGTATCAGTCTCCCATCATGATGCTCCGCTCGTGCGATTCAGACTGGAAGCCGGCCGGCACTCCCCGGAAGCCGCGTTGCCCTCTGGTGGAAATGTCCACCCAGTTCTTCAAGTCCGACCTCGAGAAGATCAAGATGAAGGACAGCAATGGCTGGAACGGCAAGGGCGCGTTTTGCGAGGGATGTGACAGGGATGAGTGCAAGATCCGTAGGACTTGTATTGCGAACCCCAAGGGTCCGGATTATTCGACCCGGCTGGAGGCCTATAGAGAGGCGAAGAAGATACTTTTGGGAGAAGGAGAGGAGGAGAACTAGGAGTGGATATCAAGGAGGGAATTAAGAGGGGAGGAGGGGGGGGGAATTGGTTACACAGGAATAGGAGAAGTAAAGGCGGATATTAGGAGAGAATGAAAGGGGAAAAGAACTGGCTGTGGGGGAGAAGGGTCTGGTGTTTTGGTGATGGCGGTAATTCGTTTATGTAGTTGCTATGTATTCGGCTTGGAGTGGGTAAGTAAGCAGGGGTTTTATGTCAGTAAGGTTGGCTTTTACACATGTTTTTCTGGTAAATGTTTATGATTTGCAGTAACGAGACAGCACATGAATCATGGATCGACCCTAATATAGTTATCATGCAATCCGATATCCATCCCTCAGCTCTGGCGGAACCTGAAATGCCCCATAGAACGCCACTCGGCCCTCTTCCAGCCTCTTGTACAGCTTTTGACCCTCAAGATCATATCTTTGCACGTCAGATGCCACCTGCACAAAGGAAGAAAACCCAGCCACCTTGGCTATTTTCCCGGTCTTGTCTGGCATGTCCTCTACCACACGAACTGGTGTTCCGCTTTGACCAAACACTCTAGTGTTGCCAGGTTGCCCGAACTCGATAGAAGATCGATCTGGCAACCAGGTTTTTCCAAGTGGTTGGGTCTTCGCTTGGATCAGCGGGAGCTCTAGACAAGAGGTTTCTGAAAGATCAGCTGGGCCTGCTCTGTTGGTGGACGCGGAAGATGCCTTGGCCGACCATCTGTGTAGCCAGAGTTGGATACCCAGTGATGGAGGCAAGTATCAGGTACTTGGTATCTTAGATAAAGGGACGTACGTACCTGACATCGACTATCTACTACTCCAATGCTCTTGGCTTCATCTTCAATCAAGCTGTCGTCCAAGAGAGCGAGCTTGCTTGAGCTGTACTTGATTCCTGACCATTCGTCTTGTGACAGCCATTGGAGTGACAACTTCGGCTTGGGTGAGTTAGCTGCTGGTTTCAATGCAGTCCAGCCGATGGTATCCACCAAACTGATATCGTGGGTGAAGCCCGAGGGGAAGGTTTGCTGAGGAGAAGGGTCAAAGACCCTTGTAACTTTCCCCAGCTAAGTAGGTAGGTACATATTCCAAGGTTAGCCAATGCCTTGAAGTTTTTCAGATGCGCAGTCTAAAGATATGCTTGCTCTTACCTTATGACCGTGTTTTGCAGAAGCAATTCGGATGTTGGAGGCCCAATCAGGTGTTGCTACACCTGATTTGGCCGTTACCGCCGTCATGGCAAGTGTATGAGTTGATACGGTGATGTATCTTTTAGTCTGGTCTGCTTCGGGAATCCCAAGGACCTCAAGCTTCCCTTCAAGCCGGTCTTTGGATTTGCTTTCACTGGAAGAAATCCGTACAGTACTCCCAAACGCCGCTTTGAAGGACAGTGTCAGAGGCCAACCTACCACATCGGTTGCTGCATTGAATTGGTTGGCTGTGGATGGCTGGCATCCGATTGTAGTTGTTGAAGATCCCCCTGTCAGGTGTACTGGTGTTGACTCTGCTCTGCCAGCAGTTGGGTAGAAAGACTCTCGGATGAAGCTGACTTTGAGTCCCCCAAACTCAGCAGGGTACTTGTGCAGCTCCTTCTGGTAGTCAAAGTCCTCTGGGACAATGACCTGCAGCTGGTGATTGATGAGATGATAAATGCCAATAGCGTGGGTGAACAAGTTTAGAATCTCCTCGACAGTCTCATTTGCCAGCGGCCTGATTGGTGAGATGACGATGGAATGCGGATCTGGAGGTTGAGACATCAGGGGTAAAAGCGGATGATGGAACCGAACTGGGATGACGACGGGAACCTTGTCCACCGACAGGGGTACTGACCCCGAGTCGGGGTCAGTTACAGTATTTGGAAGTGTGCATGTCCAGCAGGCGTTATCGGGGTCCTTTTGCTAAGCTCAAGATCTTCTTGCAGTGCATCCGGCAGCTGCTGTAGACTCAAGTGGTCCACCATCTCTACCATGGTCTTGGATTGTCTCCTGGACCGGCTTTTCTTGACCTTGCCTGCATATAATTCGGGCTCGGGAGTCCGTCTCTTGGCTTTGGTAGACCCTAGGGCCTCAGGAATCTCAAGCGCATTTTGCTTTATATTCTCGTTCTTTCTGTTTGGTTTGAGACTCCAAACTAAGAGTATCTTGGTGAATGGAACCGGTGGGAGAAAACTGAAACGTCGCGGATGACTCGTTTTTGCGCTCTTTTAGGATCGTCCGAAGTCTTCCGAATACCGTCCCAAGTCCTCCATGGCTTTGCACCACACTAACTTTTTTAGGCACAACAGGAGTGTTTTGCCGATTTGGTGGCGGTAATGATTTGCTGGAACTGGCAAGCCATGGATGAGCCAGGCATTGTCTTATCGTAAATCTCTTTTCAGGATCGACAATCAAGATAGAGTCAATCAGATCCACGAAAGCCGTTAGTCTGCTGAGGGCACAAATCACGAAAGTCAAGACTTACAGGCTGGGTCACTGATTGGATCCCAATACGGTGACTGATACTCAAAGCGATCACCCAAAATCTGTTGATTCAAGTCGTAGGGAAAGTCCTTACTCATGAGATCCTCAGATACGGGAGGTAACCACAAAGACAAATATTCAAGACCACCCCCAGCGCCCAAATGTCAACTGTTTTGCCGTGGAGCTTTTGGGTGATATTTAGGGATAGAAGGGATACAGTGCAGTACTGGACTTTTCTGTACGTCAAACCTGAATCATGCAGGGAACAGAGTTTTTGGATTACGTGCTAACATCGACCGGTATAACACAGATTCGGTAGCATGATTTTGGTCTTGACCCTTGTTCAAGTGATACTCGGTGCGGCGCAGGTAGCAGGGTCGTTCGCCCCCATCACAGGGGACTGACCGGATGAAGCTAGAGCAATGAGCCCTTGTTAACTTCAGGTGTGGTTATTCAAATAGCCAAAGTAAGAAATAGCTAAAGTAAAAGTTCGGAATTGTGTGTATAAAATAGACAGTTCTATCCTCAGGGGCTCAGGGGCCAAAAAGTCTCCACCCTGATACCCACCCAGCCTGAGGTGGGTAACAAAAATGATGGTTATGGTCTCTCCCGCCGGGAATTGAACCCGGGTCTCGAGCGTTGACAATTGAAGCTGACAAGCTCACATACTGACCACTATACTACGGAAGATTTGCAGGTGTTGGCACCTGTCGTAGCTTGCATTTCGATAGTGAAATGTGTATCTATCACTGTCGGACTGTACGACCCACGAAAACGGGCGTGGGCTTGTGTGCATACAGCGAGTTCCTCCATGCGCGGCGAATTGGTCCGAATGCATCTTTTTAAAATACGAAATCGGGCCAGCCCATCGTGTTGATTACCTCAAAACTTCACAGTTCGACGAGGATGCTTTCTCTTAGACGTTCTCTTTGCATAAGGTACCTATGTAACCCAGCACCGTCAACTTGTCGATTCCTCCAACCATTAATCAGCACCTTCCTTCCATGATGTCAACCATGATATGAACCAAATGCCACCTCGCTATGATCAACCCTGATAAAAAAATGGAAAACAGAAAGAAAGCAAACCAGCAAACTAAGAATGCTCCCAAATCTTGAACGAAAATGGGCTACTCTTCGGCCTCCCCCTTTCAGGGCCAAACGTTTCTCTTCTCGTCCTCTCAAGCACCTCTGGCGGCGCAAACCCATAATACACCCTCCCATTCCCAACAGTTGAGGCCCCGGTCGAACTGGCCGTAGTTGGCCTGTTCGACAACCCTATCCCAATCCGTGGCGTGCCGACGCTCTCCCGATCAGAGATAACTCCATACCCCAGCCTGGTCTCCTTGATCTCCCACGGCACCTCGCCCCATTTGCTTGTCTTCCACGGCAGTTCCTCCAGGCAAGGGGCTCTGGTCGCTGCTATAACAGAGGAGACTTTGACATCCCTGACATGGTAGTTGTTCTGCGCCAGGGCCGCGGTTCCCAAGCCGACGCAGATGATGGTAGCCAAGATGGCAATCGAATAGGCTATCCACAGATCGCGCTGGACATACAGGTACGAGTTTGCGATGCGGGTTTTCACGCAGGGGTATTTCGGACTGGTGTCGTCTTCAGGTGATTCGGAAGCTGTCACGCCGGAGCGGGTCTGGGGTTCCGCAGCCCATGATACTATCATGAATTGCGGGTTGGAGAGCAGCGAGAGGGTGATGTTTTCGTAAAACTCCTGAACAGCGTCCATGAGGTTCGGAACGGCGAGAAAAGTAGCCTTGTCGATGAGCCGAGTCTGGGTAGCATCTGTGGTCGGATTCGGGAACGGGATGTAATGAATCTTGCCTTTTAGAAACTGCCGAAAACCCAGACCTAGGGAATGGTACGCGGCTGATAGCCGGTAGAGCTCGTAGTCCGGATAGGGAAGAATATAATTGTTCTTTGGCTGGGCAGTCGTAGTGTCATTGGTGCCATCCGCAAGAGTGCTGTTAACAGTCTCCAGTTTGGTATCGATGATGGGCTTCAAGTGCTGTTTTTGGATGACTTTAGTCGACTGGGAGGAGAAAGTATGATTAAACTGAACAGTATACCGGGTTACGTAGTGTTCACATCGAAATATGACTGGTTCGTACCCGGACTGGAAATCAACGTTGTCCTTTTTGGATGGCGGCAGAGCGTCGTTTGGCCTTGTGCGAACCGAGTGTCCTATCCAAAGGACAGGCTCTGTGCGGAGGGCACCCAAATGTCTCGGAAATGGCTTTTTAACGGGCACGCCCCCTTCCAGTGTGTCAACCTGTGGTCTGGCGTATTCGCCAGCCATAACATCGGCAATGTAGGCATAATCTCCTTTTGGGATCAGATCAGAGGAATCAAAAGGTGCTCCTCGATCTCGAAGGGCTTTGTTATCCATATTCAGGCCTCGACCTAGTTCATCACACTTGTAACCTGGTGCCTCAAAGGTGATAACATAACTGCAATTCCACCCCCTTCCGCAAGTGTCAAGAGCCACATTTTCTCGAGGCACGACATTTCCGGAGTAGGCGGTTTGCTTTGTCACCAAATCAGCAGGCTGGCTAATGCCATCCCAGTAGTCGTAGAAAGTCTGGTTGTAGGGCTCGAAGACCTCCGACGAGTTGGTCAGTGTGCAATTCCAAAGTGAGAGCGAGAAACCGGGGTAGCCATAGAGTCGATCAGCCAGCCGCCAGTTCTTTTTGCGTTCGGTGTCGAAATTGAGTGTCCGCACAGTGCTACACTCGGCCTGCTTTGCTTCTTCTCGAAGCTCGACAGTGAGAGAGGAAGGAGTCAAGATGACGACGAGGGGAAACAGCCTTTCTCAGGGTGGCACACGGTCAGTTGAATCTTACACACATGGATTTTGAAGAGCGGCTTACCACATAATAACGGCAAGGAAAATCACCACCTTGCTTTTCCTCCAGATCTCGGTGTTGAACAAGCCTGTCAAGTCTTGGCTGATGGCGAAGATTCCGTCGACGGTCTTGAGCCTCAAATGGCGCCTTCTCACTGTCACCCAGACCTGTTGCCGGTACGCAAAGAAAACGGCAGCGAAGAGGGATGCTTTAGAAGCATACGAAAGGAAGCCGCCGAACCTCATCATCTTCAACTGGTCATCCGCTGGCTTCCCGTTCAAGCTGACGTAGAAGGCATGATGGGAGCCTGCAAAGACGATGCCAAGAAACAAGGCGGCATACATCACCCATGGTGCGTTGAGCCAGCTCCATGACCAACGTGGTGGTCGTAGCAGTGGCTTTTCTGGGCCATCCGGGGACAGGTCTCTGTTCTGATATTGAGAATAGAAGCCGGCCGTGTCGGGTGTTCCGGCGTAATACTCGTTTTGGTGAAGACCATGAGGTGTTTTGGTCTCATCATATGGGGGACTGCCAAAAGGGGAGGCTTGTCGAACTCGGCCGGAGTCTGTCGTCCCGCCTTGTTGATTTATACCCAGCCCAATGCCTGCTAACGACCCATTCCTTCCTGTTCTCTGGAAAAAGGTTACACGTCGAGGAAGGGGAGGGGATGCTGGGGAAGAGGTCATTCCGGGAGTCGGCGCAATAGGGTCTGACAAGGTAGGGTCCTGTTGTTGGAGGCCATGATAGTCGGCATTTGTCGATTGCTGCTGACCGTATTGAAGTGTGTGAGAGGCCATCGCTTCTCTCAGCAAAAGCTGCAAACGTGCTATTCCTATTGCATTCGGGTGGCAAGGCGGGATGGGTTTGCTAGGTTTGCGGTGATGATGGCGTGTGTAAGTGCGTGGGTGAACAAGGAGGCCCGACACCCGATGCACAGATTACTGCTTCCCAGACTTGAGATTTTGTGAAGAAATAAAACACCCAGGGGTACTCGGGTGCACGTCAGTTCACGAGTCCCGGTATATAAGAGGAGCATGGGTGGCAGACAGGGTCAACTCTTGTCTCACCACGCTGAAGACGACTTTGGCGGGAAGCCATCAACTGCCAAGAACAGGGCTTGTGGAACAGAAGGTGCAAATGCTGGTCGCACTGCAGGCTGGGAATAACTCATGGGTCTGGCAGGATATGGAAGGGGGGGAACCTGGCCAGTCGTGGGATTTTTCCGAGAGGGCGAGGAACAAACATGGGATGAATCCGCCCACAAAAGCCCAGAGGCCAACAGCACGAGCGAAGCGAACAAGTGCGGCAGTGCCGGCTTGGGCTGCTGACGATCAGACGTATCTCTCATTACTTACTGCACACACCTGACATAAAGCAACCGAGATCTGGACATTTCCGAAATACCGAGATTCAAGACCACTCGGAATAGCTCCTCACCGCTCAGTGGTGCCAGTTCCCGGGTAGGGCAGGATTCATGGAGGCTGTGTGCGGATACTGCGTGGCTTCATGGACAATCCTGCAAGACCAGAGCCATGGAACCAACCGCAGATGGTATTATCGAGGACTCGTTCTGCAGCGGGGGTACTCGGATCACCGCTCTCGAATCACTCTGGATTGTTGGTTGGATGGTGTTGGCTGCCCGACTATTGGCCGCATTTTCGAGGCCGCACGCTTCATGCTCGAGAAGGAAGCAAGCAAAGGCACTTGTTACTGTCAGCACCCTAGCAGACACTCCTAGCCTCAAAGATACAAACAAAGCTTTGGAGGGAGATTATTGCAGTTTGAAAGCTGCCGATGAAAGCAAAAATTGGAGAAGAGAAGGGAAGCCCGCATCCGCAGTTTTGGTGGGATGTTGGATTGGGCTTCGACCACTGGGAGATATGCCCCACAATGCGGCGCCAACACGCCGGGAGCACAGTGCGCAGAAGCACGGTCATAATGTAGCCTCCCGTCCCCCACATCTGTCATTGCATACATAAAAAGCCAGTTGTTTTTGAATGTCAATCAAGTGATTCCCAGACAAACATTTTGTCTATGATGAAAAAGTGCCAATGAACAAAAGGTATATCTACTGTAAGTCACTGGATATTGAAAATGTGGGCAAAAGGATAGGACGAAACGTGATTTGAACACGTGACCTACCGGACTGCAGCCGGTTGCTCTACCCCTGAGCTATTCGTCCTGGGATTTTGATTTGTTTGATGTAAAACTTTTGGAAGCTTGGCATTATATAACAAGCATATCCAACCAAAATCAGCAGACGTCATGCTTGATCAATAGCTCCGGCAACTGCAACCCGCCGCACTCCGCAACATGATCACCACACTGCCGCCTCACATCATCGAACAGTAGGATTTGTTCCACGGGACCGCCTAGACCATTCCTTAAAATACGCATGTAAATGATCGACCCTCCACATTCACAACACACACGCTGATGACGCAGCTCGGACTCCCCCATTCGACCTCGGATATCGGCAGCTTATCATTTTGAAAGAATGCCACCGTTGTGTAGCAGGCAAATGCCACCGAACCATAGTCCGCACGCGTGTCGGTTTAACAACACTGTCATTTTGACGTAGTTACTCAATACTACGCTATCTGTGTCCAGAACCCTCCAAATATCCTCCTATATCGGCTCCGATTGCTTCTGAACGACCTTTGGAGGTATGACAGCCCTGCCGTGCCTTTTCCAATCACCAGTCGCCTGTCCTGGACCAGGTATATTTCAAAGACCACTGGATGCCAGAAAGCTGGTAATCTTCTCAAATGACTTGGCAGCAGTCGTGCGGAAGTTGATGCCATGCCCCGTTCAGGGCAAGCTTATGGCCTTGAATGCCTTCGCTTTTGAGAAAATACTGGCCCGGGGTTTTCCAAAGACACCATCGCAACTGTTTTCTACCTGTTAATCGCTGGAGTTCTATGGTAAAAAGAAACTGACTCACTCTGCCACACAGTAAGGGAAATCATATTTCCCTGAGAGTATCTGTGGAAATCCGGTCGGTTAATCTCAATATTTTAATATATTCAACTGCGCACACTGCCTGGACTGCAGGAGCGCCATGTCGTCACAGTTTCAACCAAGCCTTGAACTACTTGAGCGATGCACACCGTATTGCTAGTGGTGTGAACATCCTGGTTCTGCTAAGGTCGTGCCACCAACCATCTTGCAGTCAAACCATCCCGAAGAGCCATGGAAGCACTTTCGCGGGCACATACCGTATCGAGTTGCCTCCCTTTACCCGGTTTCTGGTGGGCAACGATCCGGACGCCAGCCGCCTCAAGGAACTCCAGCCCGTTCAGATGAGTCGAGTTGTAACTGAAGCCTGTGGTGTTCCGCCAATCCAATCTGTCAACCCCCCATCTCCTCGTATAGAGAAAACGCAGTCTTCGGACGGAGCCTACCAGTCAAAACAACCCCATCAACCAGCTTCCTGTTCTTCCTCACGACCTCGGATGAGATCGCGCTTCCAAAACCATGCCCAACAAGCACAGTTTTCGAAGGCCGCCCGGTACCACCGACATAATGCCCGCCCTTGACCAGCTTTGCCAACTCGGTCAATATGGCCACTTGGTTCGATAGCTGCGCAACATAACCCAATCCTTGTTCCGACTTCCCCACACCCAACCGGTCATAGTAAAAGATAGAGTAGTCCTTGGTCAGCAGCTGGCTGGGGATAGTAACCATTTCACAATGAAAAAGGATCCAAGCACATACGTCCGGTCAAAGTTTAGCCCATGTGTTCCAAATCACCGCCGTATTTTTACCCTTTGGATCCGGTTTCTCGTGCCCGGGGCGGCAAAATGTCGCCGAGATGGTGTATGTCTCGGTCACGTTGACGGAAAACGGCGAGAGGACCGAGGTCGAGGTCTCGGAGGTGTGGCTGGCGATGGTGGCGACAAAGTTAGCGACGTCAAAGTCGGACTCGAAGGGATCAAGTCCGAAGACTGCGTTGTTGGAGCGGACGGTGACGTGGCTGTTTACTCCGGCGCTTCCCCAACCCGAGCTAAGCTATACTTGTGTCAGCCACAGGCACATGGCTTAAGCCAGAGGTGTTTTCCCGAACTATCTACTGCGACCACTGATGCAATGGAAATATTTGCAACCGGGAATACGAGAACTATGTAGGTGGAGTCTCTCTCTTCTGGAAAGACTATGTAAGTAGGTATGTTGGCTGGCGAGGCACCCGAAACAACACTGCCAACGCCAGATCAGGGGCGTGTCAACGTCGCGGAAACCATCGCCATGATCGAACCCGATATCCCAGGAACGGGAGGCTACGGGATTGGCTCCATTTCCGAAGAGACCAGAAGAGCCGTTTCCAATCCTCAACCTCGCTGCTGTAGAAAATGATAGGAACGGTGTGGACGCAAACGCTCCAACCTTCAAGGCCATCATGGCCTACGCTGATCTTCCAGGCGCGGCGCTCGCCAACGACCTGAACCTTGTTGTCCTCTCAGGGGATGGTAGAAAGCATCGACATGGAATCAATGTGGTCAGGGCTTCCTCGCCGATGCCAAGAAGCCGTCGGGCAGGTTGTTTAGTGAGATGTGACCGGGGATAGTGTTCAGGTCATGGTTAAGCTGTACCGTGTAATGTTGGCTAATGTACCGTTTGCGTACGCTTGGAAGTTATTGCGAGCGTAAGACTTAGGTGTTGGTTGACATTGTTTGAATTTGGATATCTTGGAGGCATCTTGACTGCCCTTAGCTAGTGAGAACTGTTTTTTCAACCCCTGACATGAATTTTATTTGGCATATGCACTGCATCTCACTGTGGACCAGCAGTGCTTCCCGTATTGCATTTATACAGCTGCATACACCGATGCAAAAAGACAAGATTTGTAAGATACGTGAATAGAGGTAGTTGGTAAATCCCGACTTTGCTGCTAATGGTGTTGGTTCACCATGCACTGTTTCCTCCTCTATCCATCTCACACGTATAAGAAGTACCACTGTACCAGCAACCGAGCACCTCTAGCTCGGCAACTCCATAGCACTGTGCTGCGGTCTTTGGCTACCTATGTTGTCCTCTTGACCCGTGTCATGACCGAAGTGAGTTGAGTGTGGCTCCAACTCTGTGCTGACGAATGCCGGATAACCTTGGTGGGTGTAGTGGGCAGAGTAGCCATGCTGGGGAAAGTTTGTGGCGTAGTTGCCTTGGGCTGGATAGCCCTGTGAAGAGAATACTGGGGGGTAAGGATATGGCGGTGACATGCTTGCTGTATAGGGCTGGTGATGCATGGCAGGTCTCCCCATGCCATGGTCTGACAATTCAGATAGACGTGAATAGTGTGGAGACGTGGGCGAGCTGGCTGCGAGCTCTGATCTCAGAGTCTCAGGGCGCGCCTTACTCTCCGTAGATAGCTCGCCGACCACTGGTGACGTTTCTGTAGCCAACGCGGCCGCTCCCTCACCCTTCTCCCAATTAGCATGCTCCCCGTGATCCGCTCCAGAAGCCGAATCATTAACGTGCCTTCGATGGCGGAGAGTACGAATGGCAAACAAGGCGCCCAAAATTAGCATTAAGCCCGCAACCGCTCCGAAAGCAACGCCGACCTTCTCTGCAGTTCCAAGACCTCTGAAGGGCGCGGCGACAACAGGTGTTTCAGTGGCTGAAGGGACGGCCTGGAATTCATTGGTTGTCGTTGCATATGAGGCAAAGGCCAAATCGGTATCGGTGTTGGAAGAAGTCGCCGACGACAAGTCAGACGTGGTAGTGGTCAACAACGAGTCAGAAGTGGTAATGGTTACCTCCTCGGTTGTTCTGGTTCCTGTTGGAGTAAAGCTGTCTATCCACTGTATAGAATCCCCCAGGTTCAATGGGAGACTTGCGAAGCGATTGCCGATTTGGTTTTTTGCCGTCAAGACGATACGGGATTCGATGGCAGGGCTCGCCTCGGCACTGCACAAGCAAAGATCATCAGATTCCTGCTCTTTGTTGCGGAGGGCTTTAGGCTTCCCTTTTTCTGCACACCCAACCCTTCGAATGGTCAGTAAGAAGGGCCCTACCATGAAGTTGGCTACAGTGTAAACATACCACAGACCTCTGCCATCCTCATCGACGGTCGTATTGCAGAAAACCATTCCCATCCATGGCTGGTCTGAATAAATCTTCTTATCGGGGCAGCTCGAGTCCTCGTATGTGCTGTCGGTGCAGCCCGCCATGTAGGTGAGGCTTCCACCATAGCTAAAGCAAGCGTGGCCCTCAGCAAAGCAGAAACCAGCCTTCCCACAGCACTGGACGTGTCCAAAAGCAGCATTGCCACAAGGTATAAAATCCGAGTGTGTTTCTTCATCAGGACCCCAGTAGCAGGTGCCGTGGGAGATGTTGATGTCGTCGTCCGAGTCCCCCATTCTTGCCTTCTTTGTGTTGGTTGGTGATGGATGACGTGACTGCAGGACAGAGGAAAGCAGTGACAGGCCCCGCCGTTGTTGGTTGGAAACACCGGGTTACCTTATCGAAGTTTGCACTCTGCTGCCGTGTGACTGCCTGGAGGCACTTTTCAGACGGAACCGCCCAGTCAGGTCGGGCAGGAGCAACTATTGTGTACTTACCGTTTCCATGTTGTGGCCACTGCCACAACCGACAACCACTTGCCCGGTGAAAGCAGTCAACCTTGCCTGCTCCTGCCATTTTGATCCCGTCCATATCTTCTCTGCGACTTTCTAACGGGATGAAAGTCGCTCAACTTGGAGCCTAGAGCCAGAATAAAAGCCTCGTCGATGCCCGGCACCAAACCAGACGCTGGGCTGTTGCACTCGTCACTCACTTCAGATACCCTATTGGAGATTCTACCATGCAACGCTCCACGTGTGATGGTGCTCCCGAAGACAGAACCCGTTGATTCTGTGTAATGTTACCCCCGTACTGAGGCTTGGTTTGGCTGAGGAACCCAACCCATGACAATCCCAATTCCCCTTTGTTTTACACGGAACCAAAAGGTGAGCTGGGTAGACAATGGGAGCAAGTATAGATTAGACATGCAACAACAATAGAAATCCTGCTCAAAGGAATCTATCTGTATTTGTTTGAAACCTGAATCATAGAGTTCAGTCGATGGAACACGTCATAGACAATGAGAGCAGCCATAACCCGAACCCTCAAAGGTGGTCTTTGGAAGGCTCGGCGAGCTGTAAGAGACTTGTGTCGGGGTGATTGATCTAGAAGCAGTTCCTGTGATTCAAGAAATTGCCTGGATCTAAGATATTGAACAGGTGAGTTATTCTTCGCATGCATTATACATATATCTTGGTCTCTTTGCGGCACACCCCCAGTGGTCCGGTGTTGGCTGCTTGCTGACTCAGCACTGGTGTCTTAACCCACGCATCTCTCATTTTCCCCTTTCTCTCCATCTTTTCTTGAAATGACTAGGCATGTAAAAGATAACAAACAGCTCACATTGTTTGCAGAAAACACAGGCTTTTAATCATATTCTGACCAAATCACATAGCGCCTTTTTCCATTTTGCTAGACTTATTCTTGAAATAGATAACGCGACACCCAACCTCCGACTCAACCTCGCTCCTGAAGGTGTGAAGAACACCAGACGGCCTAAAGACGCTCAGTGACAAGCGCCATGCCTCGTCAACTCCCGTGGAAGATCAATCAAGATGGACAGACATCGGTGGAAACCAGACAGAGTCCCAACCCAACATCAACTCGCAGTCCGGCTCCTTCCAATCGCCCCTCAAGGCCTTCGACAGCCGCGCCAAACCCGAGATCGTCGCATGAAAGATTCAACGCTCCTAGACCCAGCGCTGGTCGCAGAGGTCGTTCACCCTCAACATCGCCACCGCCAGAACCGCCAAGTGAGGAGTAAGTCTCGGGCCCTGCGTTGCTCTACAAACAAACCGCTAATTATGCCGACCAGGCTCATGATTGAAGGTGTCGACCATGACGACCGTTATCGCATGGTAGAGGATGAATTCCTCGCAGTGGCCGGCGAGTTTACACGCCATCTTCACGCGGCAGAATACCAGCGTTTGAAAGGCCTCGCCAGATCCCAGAATGCTGATACCATCTCGAACATCTCACGCCCCGTCACTGGCGAGATGACCGAAATGGTCAAGAGCCGCCATGCTGCGCTCAACATTGCATCGAAACGACGAAAGGGAATCACTCAGCTGAAGGGACTATCCCCTCAGACAACAAGTGATACCGATGATGAGGAAGCACCGTCACGAAAGCAGCCGAATCCGAATTCCCTCCAGGGACTAATGGACAGCCCGCGTAAGCAAGCTGTACCGCTGACTTCGGTTTCATCCCTGCTCCAGGGCTCAAGCCTCCGGGAAACAAGCCCTTCAAGTGGACGCATGGCTCCTCCTGGTTTGAGGAGGGCAGAGTCAACCTTCTCGGTCCCGATCAAGCGAGAGCCAACCCCAGACTCTGATGATCTAGACAGCCAAGCACCTTGGCCAATCAGGCGAACGTCGACACGGCCATCCATCAAGCGCGAAATGACAGCAGCTCAGGAAACATCATTCGCTGACTTTCCTGCTCCGCAGCCCAGAGCAAGATCCCGCGCTGCTACCATTGAGCCATCAAGAGCGATATCACGTCCGCCAGAGCAGTCCCAAAGACAGGCAACTCAAGATACAAAGCAACAGGACGACGACGATGACGACAACGATTTCCTTTCTCGTATTCGTGCTAGAAGACTAGAACAAAGACGGCGCCGAGAATCCAGAGCACAGCCAGGAATCAAATCCGAAACTCAGGAAGCAGCCCTTGACGATATTCCATTTGTCTGAGTGAGAACCTGTTGCTACGATTGATTGAAAGATGACTCAACTTCAGTCTGAGATTGATATGCACGCTACCCATACACAAGAAAAAAGAAACGACAAAGATGTTACAGCATGACCCGCCTTGTTGCTTCTTCAACCCTTATAAGGAGTCTCAAACGGCCTTTCCGCCTGGGGCGTCAGTCTCGCCAGATGTCTCCGCTGGGCATTCTTCCAGTCGATCAGCGCCGAGTGCTGGGTAACTCTGTTGTCCCAAACGACAACGGTGCCTTCCTCCCACTTGACACGGGCTTGGAAGTCGGCGCCGTAGGCGAGATGGTCGTAGAGGAACTTGAGGAGGACGTCGGACTCCTCCTTCTTGAGGCCGACGATGTCACGGGTGACTGGACACGAACACCATCAGCGGATGTTGCAAACAATAATGCAAAGAGACGGGGATGCTTACACTGAGGATTGACGTAGATGGCCTTCTCGCCTGTGACGGGGTGGGTTCTGATGATGGGGTGCTCGTGGATCACGGGCTCGCGGCGGACGATGCCGCCCCTCAAGGCCGAAGCATTGGCCTGCTCGTGGGCAGAGTGGGTGGCCTTGAGGCCGTGAAGACGCTCCTGGAAGGCAGGCGAGAGACGGTTGTAGGCCTCGGCGGCGTTGACGAAGAGGGTATCGCCGCCAGATTCGGGCTTGTCGAAAATGTACAGGAAGGTGGTTCCAGGAGGCTGGGCCTCGTAGGAGACGTCGGAGTGCCAGGCTACGGACGAGGTGCGGTTGGCGAAGAACTTGTCGACTGAGTTGTCGCCTGCGCCGCGGTGGACGAGGTGGATCTCGGGGTAGCCTTCTGGCGCGCCGCTGGTGGGGTGGATGTGGTGTCTGCCGAAATAACCGCCGAACTCGAGGGCTTGCTCGATGGACAGATCGCGGAAGTCTTGGTCGCGGAAGGCGACGACCTTGCGCTCGGCAACGAAGCGGGCGAGCTCGTCTTTGCCGGCGTCGCTGAGGGTGGAGAGCTGGATGCCCTTGACTTCGGTGCCAATGGTTGGGGTGAGGTGGGTGACGGCTGTGCTCTCAGGGAGAAGGTTGGGGAAGGATGGGTCCGCGTCTTTGCCGTGCTCGTAATGCTCAAACGGCTGGAGTGGGGGGTACTTGTCGTTGGGGTTCCAAGTTGGGAGGTAGTGCGGGTACTAGGAGATGGGAAGGTCAGCAATGCGAAGGCCAGACATGAAGTCCAACGCTGTATCGACGGCATACCTTGGCGGCTTTGTGGCCCTTCAGGCCGGCTTCAGCATCCTTATCGAACTTGGTTGTGGCAATCTCCTTGTACGGACCCGTGGTGGCGTTGAGCTTCAAAGTGCCGATGTTGGGGACCGTGGTGGTCTCAGTTTCCACAGCGGAGGGGGCCATTGTGTCTGTGAAGTGTATATGGTGAAACAATCTCAGACTCTCAAGTCTCGAACTGCTTTGGATAGAGTTAGGATCCGTCTTTCCAGCACACGCGACATCACCCTCCTACTTATAAGCTTCCGACAGTCCCTTCAAGGCAGTACGTCCTCTACCCCAGATCACGACATCCCGCTCCCGAACTATGTGGGGGTTGGATTGGCAAGAAAGGGTGGGCTAAGATGGGTCATCAGAGGATGGCATAGCACATGGATAGGATTGCGCAAACAGTTTGCCGTTCCAGTCGACGAGCTCTTCTTCGGCTTTTGGTGGTACGGCACCTGTCCCTGCCGGTCTCTCTCCTATCCTGCTGACCAGAAAGGTGGACGGTTCATGCCAAACTCGTGGCAGGCAAGGGTGCCTCTAACCAGTGCCGACTGTGGCTTATCCCACCAATCCGTCACATCTGATAAGAACTGCGAGGCAAGCCGGGACCGTGAACGGCAATGGACAAAGGGGCAACGGCCTTTACGTCGGATGGAAGGCTTAGAGGGTGCTGGGAGAGCTTGTGTATGGAGCGATGCTTGATGTTGCTAGACGCGGAGCGAATCACGTCATATCGCGTATCGGGGACTAGTGCCGCCCATCGGTTTGTTGGTGCGCAGTGGACAGCACATGTTTTTTGTTCTTCTTGGATTGGCAGTCTCGTTGAATTTGATAAACTTCCCCAAGAAAGCACGCAATTCCTTGGGACGGGGTGAGTTGAAGAGAACAAGGCTTATTCCCGCCGTTTTGTATCTTGGGTGGTGTTTAAGGACGGGTTAAGTCCGGGGATCACGGCGAGCTGTGGTCACTGGGTCCGGAGATAAGACCTTTTGCGAAGGGCTTTGGAGACGTTTATGGGATTGGCGTTGTGGTCTATCAATGAACATGAAAGAGAAATTAGTCAACGTGGGTGGGAAGTTGTGTAAGTAGTAGGTAGATACGTTGTATCCAAGGCACTTGGTCTAATCAGTGAAGTATGAACAGAAGCCCTAATCTGTTCATTCCTGGGAACTTCAGTTGTCCCTGTGAATTTGCCCAAACATATTGCGTGCTAGAATGTAAGAGGAGCCTTTGTCCATGAAAAATTGTAGTGAGTGTCTTCGTCGCAAGTACTGTTGACGTCATTCTTAGTGTTGGGGGAATGCAACGCTTCTATTCAGGGGTAATTCTCGCTTAGTCATCGTCAAGAGAACGGCGCCATGCTTGCCCCTGAAGGTGAATTTTTGATAGGTGTGTAAACATATAGCGCGGAAGAAAACCCCGGGGACCGAAATGTACCTTATTTCGGTGAAGCCTCATGCGGGCCCAAGTATCACAACACCGAGTGGAAGGATCAAAATATGTGTACGAATCAACGCTGGTATCTGCTAGCTATTGGTAGGTCTATGAATCAAGCAAGGACCCAAGGTATAAGTTTGAGCACTATGCACTCGCCAATGTAAACTGAATGCTCTTCCCTCCAGCTTTTAAGGAAGCCGAGAAAAAAAAGAAAACACCTAGAGCCACCAGGCCCAAATGAACACCAACCCGGCCCAGATACCCCAAATGGTGTAAACCGTCACGAAATCCAATCCTCCACCCCAAATCGGATTACTTCTCTCCTCCCAGCGCTTTGCCTCCTCTCTGGGGCGGAATAGAAAAGAGGTGGGCGCCCCCGGTCCGTTGTGGACTTTCTGGAGCAAGTCATGGTTCTCGCCGACGTTGGGGGGCCAAATGGCGTACTTGATCGGAGTAAAGCAGGCTATCGCAAGAACAATGAAAGCCTGATTTGAGGGCCAGAAAACCCAGAGCAGAATATTGAGGAGCTTCTCCGTGTTGTTTGAAGCCTCGGGAAGATTCTTCACAGCGACCCAGGCCGTGACGAGTATGGCTGTGACAGCCACACAGTGCATCCAGACACCACATTCAAGAAGGATGTGGTTCAGTCTCTTCGACAGGCCTCCCCGCCGCGCTGGAAAGCGTTCGAAGAGCTTGTCCTTGAGACTGCCAGTTGAGACGAAGGCAGCGGCGCTGGATTTCTTTGACTGAGTGGAGTTGAATAGCCCCGGGAAGTATGTCTTCATGTAAGCAACTGTGTAATGAGGGCTTAGCCACTTTGTCATGCCCCAGTCCATGATCGAGGCTCTATACCCTGCCATGACGCCGATGTGAACGTGATGGAGATAGGAAAAGAATACCGAACCGGCATGAATCCTGAGCAACCGGGTCAGCTCCTCCGATCTGTCGGGAGACGTAACAATGAGCGGGGTCTTGGTAAGAAAGAGGAGAGGGAAAAGGATGAGCTGAAGGGTGGCGAGGTGAGGCTTCAGATGCATCATCATCAACCCAACCATGGTAACGGGCGCTTTCCAAACCAGCTTTTCCAAGAGAGATATCCAGGAGTGCCCTGAGAGTTGATGAAGGTCCTGCACGGCAAGGTTGCTGAGGTACCAGCGAGTGTATTGCTTGAGTTGTGCCTGGTAGGTATCAGGGACCAGGCCACATTGCAAATACTCGGCAACAGCGGCGGTAATCCAGTGGTTGGTTTGGCCCAGAAGAAACTGCGTGTAGAAGTCCTCGCAGACACAGGTTGTCGGAAACTGCCCACCAGGTAAGTCATCCAGGGCTTTCCGGCGCATGACCCAGCCTGAGCCGGCGCATTGGCCCTTCCCCGCTTGATCTTGGATGGGGTGGTAGCATTTGACACGGAGAGAATTGGATTGGTTGGTTGGGTCGTTGTCGGGAATGTTGTAGAAAGTCTACAAGTTAGTTGTTAGTTGAGATTTCCAACACCACCGCATACTCCAAATGATCAAAATCGTACCTGAACCCCGCAAACCAAACCTATCTCTTTTCCGTCCTCCTGATATCCCCCAGCTGGGTAAAAATGGGGAATCGTTGCTCTGAGCCATGCTCTGTCGGGAATCATGTCTACATCCAGCACGGCGATCAACTCCGCTCTGCCTCCAGGAAGACTGTCGATGAACTGAAGGGCATTGTTGAGATTGGCGGCTTTGACTCCAGGAGGCTTCTCCGTTGCTTTGCCGTAGTTCGAGGTGTAGAATACATTTCCGACTCTGCTTCGGAGCGCAGCAAGTCCGCTCTCTACCGCGCTGTCTCCGCCATCGTCGGTTACAATGACCCTCAGTTTGTCGAGAGGATAATCGAGATCGAAAGCAGCAAGAACTGTTCCGTAGACCATAGCTTCCGATTCTTTGCAAATGCAAATAACCACATCGACAGACGGGAGATTGTTCTCGCCCAACAGCCGAAGACGAGGACGCCAGGTGCCGAAAAAGCTGTAGCTTTTGATTTGCCACGCAACGAGTAGTTGGTCAACTAAATCTCTGTTAGACTATCCCCTCAAAATACGACACATAGGTAGCAAACTTACCGGCCCACAGAATCTCGACAAGAAAGAACAGCGTTGCCGAGAGCATTTGCAATCTTGACAGGGCAATGTGGCTTGACTCATCGCCTGTCCAGTAAGAGACAATAGTGCGTCCCTGGTAATATGCAGCCCATAGCAGAAGCACCGCCGGTAGAGTAGCTGTAAACGCGACGAACCTCACAAGGTAACGCTGCCACATATGAGGACAGAAAAGAACCGAGGACGTTTCCTCGGAGTCGGTAAGGGCTTGGATACGGGCCCGCAAATTACCGCCGTCGATTGCGTTCCTGTCGAACTTTTTCTCATTGACGTGCTTGTTGTTGGTTTTCTTGGAGGGATAGTTGGCTTGGGACACGTCCGTCGACCGAACCCAAGTCGAGGTCTCGATGCCGATGGCCTCGTTCTCGTTCCACGAATGTGACATTGTGAGCGGTGATCCTCAAGGCAGGCGGTTTTCCGCGGTAGAGGGAAGACAGCCGGGGTAGCTGCTGACAATGAGGGTGTGTAACTCGGAGGCCAGTAAGACAACAGAGTTGCCAGTTTATGTACCGGTAGAGGGCACCCTGGCGCCGCCGGTGAGGTGGGTCTGAAGCAGAATTTTGGAGTGAATATCTAAGGTGAATATGGATGTAAAGCGAACATTCGGAGTGAATAAGGTCAAGAGAGCAACTCGAAACGTTGTTCCGTCCCAACCACCCACCCAAGCAACCAACAAACACAAGCTGTGTGCGCACAATCTTCATAGAAGGCGCAGAGTGGTCACGACCGAGAACACATTTAAACAGAGAAAAATTGCTGCTAATGTCTCAGAGCCCTCGTGGTAGAGAAAGGTCAGCAAATTGGAACTCGGGATGGGATGTTTGATTGTTTCATGATAACCGGGCATCCTGTGCACCTTGCCAACTGAAAAACCACCTGACATCCCAGGTCAGCCAGATCGAGTATCTTGCATCCCGTCACACTTGTCGGTGTGGTGGACTTTCCTTTTTCACATGTCGATGATGGCATAGGGGACCTCTCCTATTTATGCACTATTCTGATATAGCGGACAGACCTCCACTTCTCTTTGCCAAAGAGCCCAAGGTCTCCTGACGGTGTCCTCGCACATTTCCGATGCCGCCGTGGCTTCTGCTTTGCTCAAGAAATGAATACCTGGATCTGCACCGGTCGGAAAGGTGCCTACCACGGCCATGGCGGCATTTTGCATGATGATGGCCTCCTTTTGCACCGCGGCATTTTGGGCCGTATATATCGCCTGGAAGACGACATTTTGTAGGTTGGAGGCCACAGTAGTAAAGCCGTGTCCTCTCATGAGCACCACGGTTGTTTTCGTATCGATAAACTTGTAGGCCAATTTCCGGCCCAGAAACTCGTCTTTGACCAGCAAGCCGCTGCTCCCACTCCCATCATCTGGTGGATTTTCGGAGTGAGCCGGCCCCAGCCTCATCCCCTCATGATTCCTGGTGTCAAATACAGGGCATCCTTCAGGGCGGAGGAAACCAGCGAGGTGGATACACGGCCGTAGTCGTACTCGATTGATGGTGAATGGCAACACAGCCTGACAATGACTGTGCACAATGGCGTTGACACTCGGGTACTGCCTGTAAATTTCCGAGTGAATGAACCTTTCGCTAAACAGCTGATTTTGGTTTGACGTGTCTGTCGGCTTGGCCCCGTCGATGGTCAGGGTTATCAGATCATCAGCGCTGGAGACCAAGGCAGGGGCCATGCTGCGGGACATTATGAAGGTATCTCTCATTAGGGGATTTCGAACAGAGAGGTGGCCGTACGCATCGAGAACACGGTGGTAGTGGAGGATATGAAGGGCCGTGATGAAGTCGTGTTCGAGCCGGTCGAACTGACGCTCGTTGAGCGTCTCCATAGGGGCCGTTGTCAGTTTCTGCACCTGGCCGATGAGTTTATCTCGGGAGTTGGATGAGCAAGGGATGGGAAAGCAAAGTGAAGACAACGAATGTCTCGGATGACGACGCCATCTGGGGACCGGAAACCTGGAAAGCTGAGGCCCTGTCCAGCACACAGACATGAGCAGAGCGCAAACTTAATCTCATGTTGGGTGTCTGTATGTCGTCATCCCGGTTTTCGAGGCCATGACTGAAAAGCTTTGCGTGCGTATGTGTAGCCGGCGGCACGAAAGGAAGATGTTATTATCAGAACCCTAACCCTTGCGCGATTCGACCCCCACCATTCCCCACTTTACCCCCACCTTTGCTTTCCAACTCTCGACTCTGAGCTTTCAGATTGGAGCTTTCAAGTAATTTTACAAGAACAAACCGTGGCCAATCCAACAACAACGTCTGGGTTAATTATCAGCATCTGTCATTTGCAATCATCACTATAGACTTTCAGCTTTCTACTCCATATGACGTTGCATTTATCGGTTGGCCGATGATCTCCTGAGTCTGTGACGTTCGAGCCTCATCTCTTCCTGCAGCACATCTGCCCCACATGGCGCCTCGACCAGCTCGACGAAGCGCGAGGGGTGTGAGGAAAAACTACAATGAGGCAAGCAGCATTGTGCTCGATGACGACGAGGAGCCGATTCAGGTCCCGGATAACGACAGGGATATCGACGACGACTTTGGTTCCGGATCCAACGGTGTACCTGACTTTGACGGAGACGGCCATGGCGCAGACGATGACCCTAGAAGCGATGGCGATGAGGTAGACGAGGATGGGAATCCAAAAACGACCACAGCTTCAAAGTCCCAACAAAAAGGGAAGCGGAATGCCGGTGCCGGCATGATACAGTCTCGCAAAGGCTTCCACGACATCCCCCACTACCCTTTGGAAACGCGCATCGTGACCCGCGTGTATGCCGGTCCGCTTAGACGCTATGCTCGCTATTCGGCCCTCAGAGATTCCATGTACGGTCCTGAGATCCCTCGCATCAGAGTTATTTGGGCTTTGGAAACCAAATGGAGCGCCTTCCCCGTTCTGCCTCCCAAAGCCGGCGCTTCAGAAGTCAGAGGCATCATGCCGAGCCCTTGGGTTCCGCAAGGCTTTGAGAAGAACCAGACATTAGCAGCATCAAAGTGGTATGAGGGGTACCACCTTCATTGTCCCGTTGAGGAGCTCCAGGTCTGCCATCACGTTGCCGCCCACCAGGGGGAAAGTCTGGTACCAAACGCAAATGGAGAGCTGGTGGCGCTGCTGGGGCCATGGGATCGCCAGCGAGAGTTCATTCTGCCTCGGCGCGGAAGCTTGGAGATAGCAGAAAACGGTTCGCCATTTACAGAGGATGATATCGTCACAGATGGTGAAGAAGCTCGATCGAGAGGGTGGATGATTGATGTTGGGGGCATTCCTCTGGCAATAGCTTGGGCACCTTTCTTCCTCAGGAACAACAGACAGGTCCTTGCGGTAGCTACCATCCCTTTCTCGGACCAAGATTCGTCCCTCGTCGTCGAAGAGAATTCCGGCAACCATAATGCTACTTCGGAGATCCAAGGATCTGTCCAGTTTTGGGAATTCGCTGCTGAAGAAGACAGCAGCAAGGAAGGGATGGCAACGCCTGCCAAACGACCTTCCCGTCTTCTGGGGGCAAAGTGCTTTTCGTGGGGCCGGCCCAAGCGTATGCAATTTTGTCCAGTCCCCATGGACGAGTCCGCGTCGCCTTCAACCAACGGCATTCTTGCTGTGCTGTGCAGCGATGGAAGAGTCCGCGTCATAGATTGTAAGGCGATCCATGAAGATCAAGTACCCGATTACGGTTCGTGTTGCCCCAAATAGTTCGGCCCAAGACGAGTGCTAACCCGTTACAGCTTGTATGGAGGCACCGATGGTCACGTTTGGACAGGACAATGACTACAACGTTGAGGTTACCTGCCTAACCTGGGCTAACACGAACCGCCTCGCGCTTGGTCACAGTGATGGATCAATCACGCTGTGGTCAGTCTATCCCAAGACGCTGCTGCAGCGCCACGGTGCTCACACGACCTACGTTATCGACATCTGCTCGGCCTATCCGTCGAATCCATATCTGGTCGCCTCCGTCCCCGTGGGCGGCTGCGCGACTTTGACCGACATGTCACACCCCAGCTCCGAGTTCACCTACTTCCCGGTTCCGGCGATTAGCTTCCAGCCCAATCTGCTCTGTTGGAACGAGTCGATGCAAGGCTTCATGGCGCTGTACCCCTCGTCCACTCCCAACACCACCATTGCGTTTCTCCATCATCGCTTCTTCGCCCAGGCCCGCAGCATCTGCACCGGTCCCAACACGCTAACCTGTGTCTCGGTTGGCACGACGCACCCTTTTATTCTTGTCGGCTGCGCAGATGGGTCGGTCTTCGCTTGCAACGCACTGCAGAAGTTGTTTAAGCAGAAAGGGGAACCACTGAGGAAACTCAAGATCTTTGAGCATGAATACAGACCAGTCGTCGCTACTCGGAGTAGCCAGGGCAATTCCATCCGCGGTGCAGTTCGGATACTCCAGGGATACTTGCCCGAGGTCAACGATGACCCGCGAACAGAAAAGAGAAAAGAAATGGACCGTAAGAAGAGGTTGGAGAGGGAGAAAAAGAGCAAGTACACAGCCAGCGGGAAGAAGAAGGGTAGGCCCAAGAAGAATGCTGGTCTCGAACCTGAACAGCCTGAAGAGGAGCACGACCTTGAAGGGGAGCTGCAGGAAAAGCTCGCGTCCAGGGTCGTAATCCACGAGCCACTGACCAGAGTCACGGCCGTTGCGTGGAACCCGAATACTAACTTCAGTTGCTGGGCTGCCAGCGCCATGGCTTCCGGCATCATCAAAGTCATGGACCTGGGCGTGGAAGACTTCAGAGCGTAAAGAGCTCAAGAGCCAGAGACTCGGCGAAATCACTCTCAGCATGGACCCTGCATACGGCTCATGAAGAGCCCCTGAATTGAGGTCGGATCGACGGGATCGAGAGTTGTGGAAATCGAGAATGGCCGTGTCGCAGTCGGCGTTCAGGGGCAGTCGCAGACGGGCTACGGGGTCGGAGCCGGCGACCGGGGTGGGTTGGCCCAGATGGTTCGCTGTTCAGGTACCGGACTCGCAAGCCCCGCAAAATCCCATGCTATCGAGAGCAACCTTCCGGAACCGTTCTTGAAAGGCCGTGGATTGCCAATGAAGATCTGGCCGGTTCCAGTTGAGCTCAAGTCTACAGTGGGTGTGCCTTTTTTTGACCTCATGAATGATACTCTGGCGAGCTACGTGCTTGCTGCATTGCAACAAGCAAGCACCAGTAGCAACGGTTTGTCAGTGTCGTGCTACCCTCCACATGCACCTTTGTCTCCCAATGTAACCTCAAACTCGGGCAGTTTGAAGTTTATGCTCTCGACACTCGAGATGCCCGGGAAAACACCACACCACCACCAGGCCACGGAACAATTGTCAAACGGCCAAACGGTTAGACGGCTTCCCGGGTAAGAGCGGGCTGTCTCTCTCTCTCTCTCTCTCTCTCGGAGGAAATACCCAAATGCCACCCTTCGGAAGGTGAAATGGGAAATTAGTTGCATTATCAGTGCTGCCCCTGGTCTACTTCGGTTGGATGATGAGCTATTTGGTACTTTGCTATGCAAATTAGATATGTTCAATATGCATACTCTCTGTATGTGTCTGGTGTATGTACGCGTCCTTTTGTCTTGTGGTTCGTTCGTCGTGATGAAGTGGTATCCAGTAACATGCTTCCATCAATACCCTCAAATTTCCTTTTTCCAAAAATAGTTTTATTTTTGGCGATGTCTTCTTCTCCTCTCATGCTTGCGTCCTGAGTTGAGCCGAGATCATGAAGCACACAATGCTCCGACACCGGTAGAATGGTGAAAGTCAAAAGCCTTTGTCATTCCGTATAAATGCGAGGCCGCGGCAAGCAAGACAAAGAGGTGGAAAAGCTGATGAGAACTTCCAAAGATGTCAAACTTTCCTGGGAAGCGACGCTCTGGGAAACGAGCCTATTCCATGTCTTTTCGTCAGTCTTCAACCTCTCTTTCCCTGTCCGCACCGATCTTGGTAACACAGGGAGTGCACCCGCAAACAGGAGAATACTGACCGCATATAGGAACGCTCCAAAAATATACAACGCCCCTTGGAAGATGACCCAGTTAAGACCCATTCTTTTGTTAAGCTCGTCGTATGTGTAGAGAGTGATTAACGCATGGATAATAGGCAATACCCCTGAGAGACCCAAAGACACGAACATGAGGGCACGGTAAGGCCTCCAAGCGGGAGTGCGGAAGTGGTCGAACCACGATACCATGATGCAGCCAGAGCCTAAGAGGCAGATCTGTATCGGTTCAGTCAGCTTCTCTTCAACGTCAAAACACCAAACACCTTCCCCCCTATCCAACCGTGCCCCTTTTTCGTCCAACAAGTGTTCCCCCATCCCTTCCTTACTTTTTCACAGTGACCCCTATTTTCAACGGCACCGCGCCTTTCCCCTGGCTATCTTGCGAACAACGCCACCAAAACCTCAAGCGAGAACACTATCACAACAACTCGAGTGAGAAGCCCCAGGTCTCTAGCGAGATGACTTCCAAAGGCTCAAGTGAGAGCGACACTGTTCCCCTCCTTATACAGATTTCCCCCATAACCTGACCAACAAGCACACACATTTCCCCTTCCATCTTTGCACAATCCCAGCCCAATTCTTCAAAACAGCACTTTCCCCTCTATCTACCTTATGTCCCCCCGCACACGTCCTACGAAACAAAAGACCCTCAAGAAAAAACGAAGAAAAACTTACCGCTCCCAGATACACCGTCAGCTTCCCAGGCTCGCACCAAAACCCATACCACAGCGCCGGCACGTAACTCCCCACTATCAAGAAAACGATGCCGGTGTAGTCGAGCTTGTTCCCCCACTTGGCCACCTTGTCCGAGTGGTTGCTAATCGCATGGTACGTCGCGCTCATCCCCAGGCACAAGAAGGCGCCCGCGAAAAAGCAGGAAAACACCAAGATGTCGGCCGAGGAGGCGGTGTCAAAGCGGGGGTGGATCAAGCGATACAGGTATGCGGCCAGAATGACGGAAAAGAAGGCGCCGAGGAGGTGAGACCAGATGTTGACTGATTCGTTGTGGAGGTAGAACAACGACCTGAAGGAGGCGCGGAAGGAGTACGAGGTTGGGCGGTAGCCGCGGAGGATGGAGGGGTTGTCGCGGCGCCATGGCTCAAGTTGGTCGAAGAGGAGGAGTTCGAGCCTGTGCTCGATGTCGGTGGCGGTTTGGACGATGGTTTCGGTGAGGGAGGGGCGGCGTTTGCGGAGGCCGGAGCCGGTGCCGGTGCCGGAGCCTGGACCGGTGGTGGCGGGATTTTGTTTGGCGGGGCCGGGCATGGCGGTTGAAGGGACGGCTGGTCGGCTGGCTGACTACCTACCCACTTTGGTGTGACAAGTGTTACTCTGGAGGTGCTCAGAGGCAAGAAAAGGGGCATGTAACGATATTTTGCATTTGTTGTGAGACTGGCTTCTGGGTTACCATCCGATCTTTACTTGATTTTATGTCTCTGTTCATGAACATACATATCGCTGTTCTGCGGGATGATGACGACGACCAGATAGACCAAGAATCCATTCCCTGCCAACAATGCTTCAAGATGGCATGGTTTGATGTGCTGTCTGGGCGTGGTTTTGTTGGGATTTCGAGTCGTTTGAAGGCTGTCCACCTGGCAGAGGTTGAGCGAGATCCACAATAAATGCCGAGGCCGCCGCAAACTGGGAGGAGCCGTTTGCATGTGGGAGCAGTTGCCAGCTTCAGCGGTCTCTACCGTAATTGACCCCGCTGTTAGTAGCTGCCTGCCCGTGCACCGCAGAGCACTAACGGGGTGTGCCATACTCCATAGGTACGTAGGGATAGGTACTCAACACCATCGATGGCCTCGACCCCCCAGGCTCCCCAACTCAACCTCTCAGAAATTCACAATGACGCGGCCCAACTTCCTTTACCCAGCCAAAGGTCCAACCAATATTTACCAGCTACCAGCAGATTATCCCTTTACCAAAAGTCACCGTTCACAGTGCTACCATTTCCGTTCGCTTTCATTCCGCGGTTCGCTGTTCGCTTACCTGTCCTTTCTCTCAAATCGCTTCCAGCAGCAAACGGATGTTCGATGCCGATCAATTGCACGGCATCACAATGAAAAGCTCTAGCCCCAACGGAGACCGATCCTCCATCCTGACCAAAAGCAAATATCACGGCATTTCTCACCCTCAACGCCCGCAGGTGCACACCAACCACCAGCTCTTCCCAAAAACTCAACGCAACGGTGTCATGTCCCTGGCATATTACCTGCAGACCCCGATAGTGAATGTGGGCACACAAATGGAACCATACACTGATGAGTCGGGTCTCGCCCCAGAGCAGTGTCGTCTTCGTTTCCTGGAAACAGATTACCTCTGGCAGAGAAGCTCGGGCGTTGCTACCAGCTGTTCTTATTACACGCCACTGTCTCCAGATACCCGGATCAACGAGAACCACGGTCAACTCTATTTCTATTCTTGGACATGCCAAAAAGTTCCCTGTGGAACCCTTCCATATGATGACCAACGACGACAAGTGTCAACTTCAGACTACCAGTCGGTTGTGGTGATGGCTTCAAAGATCGCATCGCCAACATGCGCCAAAGTGAAAGTGCAAATGCACTCCATCTCTTTCATAAGAGCCGATGCAGTGCGGCTTAAGAACCGCAGCATTTCACATTCTCATGCCCGTTTTCCCGGCCAGCCCTTTGGTCTTGGCTATCCGATGTAACAGCTTTGAATCGAGTCTCCTGTCTAGTGGACAACTACCGCCATCGCGCGTGCGGGCTAGGGAGTGAGAGCCAGCGTTCTCTCTGGAGGTTGGGTGAGGAGAGGACTTGGAAATCACGACGGTGTCGGTCCAAAAATAGCAAGGCTCCTCCCGCAACTTTGTGTTCAGAGTCAACTCGGTTTATTGCGGCCTTGGACCGCCGATGACCCAAACTGGCTTGACTACGCTATGGATATAGGCACAATTATTCACAGTGCAACCTTACTCTGGGGTTGTTCACTTATCGTCGTGTCTGGGCGCCTGACCGAGACTGGCCCATGGCCAAACGACGCCTGTTGACGGCCCCGGATAAATAAGCCGAACCATATCGCCATTTGGCTCTCACCCTCGTTGCTTCATCTATTCCATATTGCTCACAGATTGTCGCCACCAAACTCACCTCCACAGCATCAACCACATCACAGCTTCGGGCGTTCCTCGCGTTGTTCTGGGAGCGGGGCCGGTGCGTCGATATCATTGCAGGCTTCTATTAATACTCTCACCGGGGGTTGTGGTGAAGATGGCGACACTGGATATGCCATGGCGAAACGGGTGACGGGCAGGGGACGGGAGAAGGCGAGGATTGTGTATATCAACACATGGGAACCGCCACCTGATCCGGGCTCTTGAGATACACGACGTCAATCGTGAACCCTCAGGAGTCGACAACGATATCTCCCCCTCAAAACCAGCTCCGCCGCCACATCATGGCCGGATCTGTCTTCGCCCTGTCCCTTCTCGGCCTGGGCGCCGTTCAAGCTGCTCCATCGGCCCCGACTGTGGAGACTCGGCAAATCTGGATCGGAGATGGTGGAGGCGTGTTCTGGCCCGGCCCCGATCAACCCATTGCACCCTGTCTCGAGAACGGCTCCGGCGCCCCTCAGGCTCCATGCCTCCTCCCACCTATCCCTGGTGATGTTACCCTTCCACCCGGATTCTACCTCCCTCCCAAGGACAAGAGAGACGCCGAGTCGGTCGATAAACGTCAGATTTGGATTGGCGATGGCGGATCCCAGTTCATCCCAGGACAAGGCCCTCTCAAGCCTTGCTTGGTGACGATCCCCCTCAAAGGTCAGCCGCCGTGCTTGTTGGGACCAATCCTCACCGTGCCCAAGAACAAGAGAGGCGTCGAAGCCCGCCAGACACTCATCATCGGAGGCCCTCCGGGCTCTTTGAACCCTGGCAACCCAGGCCTTCCCGGGGGTGGCATGCCCGTCTGCCTGCCGTCTGTGCCGCTTGACCAGCAGCCTCCATGCATGCTTCCGCCCATCAGCGGCGGCGGTGGCGGGCTCATCCTGCCTCCCAACTGGCCTGCCCCGAGTTTCCCGCCCAAAGAGAAGCGGGAAGCCGAGGCCCCTAAGCCACCCAAGCTTACCCTCCCGCCTGACTATGCGACCAACACCAAGCAGGTGATTGTGCGACTGGAGGCCCGCCTCGTCGCCTTGCAGAATAAAAAGTACAAGACCAAGCAGGACATCGAGTTGATCAAGGATCTCAAGGAGGCTCTGCTCTACTTGGCCGGCATCACCAACATCTCAGCACCCCCTGGAACCGGTACTTCTTTTACCCCAGGAAAGCGCAGCGAGGACGTCTTCCAGCTCCTGCCCCCCGACTACATCACCAACACCAAGAAGGTCATCGAGACGCTGCAGAGGGAGCTGATCGTCCTGCAGAACAAGAGGCGCAAGACCAAGGATGACATCGCCAAAATCCAGGCTATCAAGGATGCGCTTCTCTACCTGGCCGGCATTACTCACATTTCAGCCCCCCCCGGGTCTGGCAGCACCTTCACTCCCGGGAAGCGTGATACCTTCAAGCTCCCCCCTGACGCCACGACCAACCCCAAGAGGGTGATCGAACAGCTGGAGAAGGAGCTGATCGCCTTGCAGAACAAGAGGCACAAGACCAAGGAGGATCTCCAGCTCATCGCTGATTACAAGGCAGCTCTCCTCTATCTGGCCGGCATCACCAATATCTCGGCCCCCCCTGGATCCGGGAGCACCTTCACTCCCGGCAAACGTGATGTCTTCAAGCTTCCCCCCGATGCTACCACCAACCCCAAGCGCGTCATTCAACAGCTTGAGACAGAGTTGATCGCCTTGCAGAACAAGCCGAACAAGACCAAGGCCGACTACGAACTCATCGCCGACTACAAGGCCGCACTTCTTTACTTGGCCGGCATCACCAACATCTCGGCGCCCCCCGGGTCAGGCTCCACTTTTACCCCTGGCAAGCGTGATGCCGTGTTCAAGCTTCCCCCTGATGCTGCCACGAACCCCAAGAAGTTCATTGTGCAGATCGAGAAGGACCTTGTGCTTCTCCAGAACAAGAAGAACAAGTCCAAGGCGGACCTCGAGCTTATTGCTGCCTACAAGGCTGCCCTCCACTACTTGGCCGGGATCACCAACATCTCGGCCCCCCCTGGGACTGGAACGAGCTTCACCCCGGGCAAGCGCGACGTGATCTTCAAGCTCCCGCCTGATGCTGCTACCAACCCCAAGAAGTTCATTGTTCAAATTGAGAAGGACTTGGTGGTCCTGCAGAACAAGAAGAACAAGACCAAGGAGGATTACCAGCTGATTGCTGCTTACAAGGCTGCTCTTAAGCACCTTGCCGGCATCACCAACATTTCCGCGCCGCCTGGGTCAGAGACTTCCTTCACTCCCGGCAAGCGCTCGCCTGTGGTTGATGTCAATGCCGTTGGCGCTTATGAGAAGCTTTGCCCCAACATCAAGGGTGCCCAGGATGCCCTCCAACAGATGCTGCTCAAGGACCAACTCACTGCCGAAGAGATGGTTGTCGTCCGGGCGCTTATCAACTTCCTCAGGGGATGCGGCGTTGAGCCCGGCGAGGGTCCCAGTTATGGCCCTATCTTGACGGTTCCAAAGCGCAACACCCCGGTGCTCTCTGCCGAGTTCGACCTTGCCGGTCTCGAGGAGGCCTACAAGGAGCTTCTCACCACAGCACAGCTCGCTACTGCTGCCGGCCAGCCCTCCTTCGCCAACTGGATCACTCTCTCCACCATTGCTGACATCCTCGAGCTGTATGGCGTGAAGGTCGACCGCTCCCTTCACGTTCTCACCCCTCTGCCGAAGCGCCAAGCCGACAGCATCACCATTGGTGGCCGGACCTGCAAGGTGATTGACATTCTTGGCCTCCGCGCTGCCCTTGCGGCTCTCCAGATTGCCTACGGTGAGGACGTCACCAAGGCTCCCACCACCATCTTCCTCATTCAGCAAGTCATTGTCACCGCGCTTCAACTCTGCGGCCAGTCAGTTCCGGGCTGGACCGTCATCGTCCCTGGCAATCCCGTCCCTGGTGGTCCCATTGTTCCCCAGCCCACTGTCCCCGGCGGACCTTTGGTTCCCGAGCCAAACGTCCCCGGGTCGCCTGTCGTTCCCCAGCCCACAATCCCCGGTGGTCCTTTGGTTCCTGAGCCATACGTCCCCGGCGCGCCCATCGTCCCTCAGCCTACCATTCCGGGTGGTCCACTCAAGCCTTCGGACAAGAGGCAAGCTCCTGGTCTGAGCAACGCGACAGAACTTCTTGCTGCGCTCAACATCCTCGAAAAGGCATACGGCACATACGGCAGCGGGACAATCCCGGTGCCTGTTTGGTTGATCATGGTGAATTTGGTGACGATTCTGCAGACGATTCCGGGAACGGTGGTGCCCGGGTGGCCAGTCTTGGGACAGGGTAGCGTTGTTTTGACTCCGTCTCCTTAGAGTGGTATCGGGGTTGGGAGTGTTATATGATATCCAGAGAAGAAGGCGGCGAGACAAAAAGGGGGCTTGATTCAGCGATGGGTCGGGTTTGCGGGTGGTGCTAAAATCCCCTTTTTGAAGTCTTTTTATTTATTTTCTTTTACTTTGTTCTAGTCAAGCTCGAGGTGTATCCCTATTTTTCCTTGACACACGCGCGTAATCTTTTTCGCGTCTGGTCTTCCCTGTTCTTTTTAGGCTTGATTGACTCCTCTTTTGTCTTTTGACCTGGTCTTTCCAGTCCAGGTACCATCTGTTCGTGACTGTGCTCTCAAGGTGCTGGTTAAGCTTATAGCTTCATACCATTGATACAGGGCTTTGCTTGCCATCGGTGATATGCCTTTTAGATCATGATACATTCCACGTGAACCCCCTGATCTCTTTCGTCTCATCACGCATGGTTTACTTCCATGCCCGGTTCAACAGCGTCAGCATTGGATAGTTACAGTAGCTCGCCCGCCATGAGACAGCACTGATCAAGTGGAAACACATGTCAAATCCTTTCATCTCAACCCTTGTCGCCGTCTTACTTACTCATATGAGAACCTAATCTTCATATTTTCACATAAGAATACCACGATCTCCTGTCGCAACAATAACAACCTCCCAGTAACGACTAGAAACTTCTCTCCGCATTACGCCCATCGCCTCTAAACCTCCTGCCATCAAGCTCCCGGCGTCATTCCCCCCCAATCGCTTGAGATCCTGTAGTGGCAATTTCCTCCGGGGATCCTCTCAACGGCTGGGTCCAAGGCTGACAGGTATATACTTCTGACACGTCCCCTCCCCACAGATGCCGTGGTCTAAGATTCGTCACTCCACGCCGTCAGAATGGGTCGACAGCGTGAAACTCAATACTTCTGTCAAGGGCTCAAGCTACCGAGCGACGAACTCCCACATGACATTACCATCAGACAACCGTGGCTTAAAATGGGTTGAGGGGGAAGATGACTCGTCCGTTTATCGGGATTCCCCGCAGGCCGTTGCTGAATCTATGTTGGTGTGCTTCTACGCGTAGGGATCGTATCGTCTCAGCCACAGAGGACTCGCGAGGACTTCGGATGCAGGCTTTATGCTTCTCACGACTGGGACCTATTCACAATTCTTGACCTACGTTCGACCTACGCTGGACCTACGATGGACCTACGATGGACCTAGCTGGGCCTTGGTGTCTCTTTTTCCAGCGGTCTTTGGACCTATCCTGGACCTTTTTGGACCTAGAATAATCATTTATCGGACCGTTGGGCCTTTCCTGGACCTGTTTTTCCCCCCCCCTTATCCGAGAGCTGTTCAGCCCTCTTGCCACCCCCCCAAGACTAAACCTTCTGGTCTAACTGAAGCCACTCCCCAAGCTCCGGAGAAGCTAGGTCCAACGCGATTGCATATACAAGTCCATGAGGTCCATTAGGTCCCTTTATTTTTTGTTTTGGGGTTCACAAGACAGACAGCTCCCTAGGTCCGCGCCACGTTTCACGCGGACCTAAAACGACTGGACCTAACGGTCAGAAAACTCGGGAGCATCTCCTCGTCGCTTGGTTTACTGAGGCGGACGACCAACTGAAGCCCCTTAGACCCATTGGCACTCGGTTTTGTTCTCCTGTAGGTCCCCACTCGTAGGTCCAAACGGGGGGGGGGGCGTGTGTGTGATGGATGGAGGACGTCTGGTGTTTACTTTGCTTCCATTTCCGGATGCAGCCAGCCCCTTTTACCACTTCCCCCCTTTGACCGAGTCTGAGAGACATGTAGACAACCTTGGAATCATGCAGAGGGGCCGCGCTCTTCTCCCCGGAACCGGCACTAGGTCCGGTAGGTCCCTTTCGCCGTCTCCCTCACGAGCACCTGACCCTCACAGCAACGGTTCGTGTCGCATCCTGGACGGACCTAACTCTCTTGTTCATGGACCTACACCACCAACCCACATCTGATCAGTCAGCAGCATCTTTTCCCTCCCGTGGAAAAGCTGTGCCACATCTGCCTAGGTACGGTAGCCCCTCTCCCTGTCTTCTCAACTCACATGAGCGACCGGCCGCATGCAGCTCCACCGTCTCTACTGCGCAACAAAAGCCTGCCGGGTTTTCCTCAAATTCACAATCATGCATCATGGATGGATGGTGGTGTGGGTTGTAGGCAAGGACCAGACCATAGATCGAAAGCATCTGGACCTTTTCCCATACCACCGTAGTGTAGGTCCAAGGCAGATAGAAGAAAACCACGCCATCAACCGCTTTTTTCAAATCAAGTTTCTTTTCTTTTTTTTTTCTTTTTTTGGGTAAGGGGGGGGGCGGACATATGGGGTGTGTTTGATGAATACCGTCGAGATAGAGGGGTACAAGCCGGGCATGCCGGCAGTGTCTCCTACTGGTTTTTCTAGTAACTGGGCACACATCTCCACAAGCAAGTGGGTTGATATTGCATGCTGCATCATGCTGTGCGGCAACCGATATTTTCTCTCTCTCTCTCTCTCTCTCTCTCTCTCTCTCTGCCTAGAATCTGGAGATAGCCACACAGGCAGACAGACAGCTATGGTGGAGAGATAATAGGGAAAATGCCCGTGATAGCCGGCCACACACACCACCTTTAGTTTGAGGAACCAAACCAAATTTGCTGTTGATGTGGTAGGTAGGTAGTATGCGGAGAAAAAGAGTCAAAAGACAAGAAAACTGAAGAGTTGCACTGCCACACCAAGGCATGGTCTGGTGGGAGAAAGTATGTACGCCAAGGAGGCGAAAAGCAGGAAACGAGATCCATCATGAGCATGTTTGTGGCTTGCCTATTTTACCCCGTGCTCTGCATGTTTTATCGACGGCTATACTCCGGTCGTTGGAGCTGCTGTGCATGAGGTCTGAGAGGCAGCAATCTGCAATCCTCGTAGGTTGGTTGACTCAGGCACCCGCCTACCAGCCAAGAGGGAGGTCGGAGTCGTCCCAACTCTCTTTACCTGAGCGGTGTGATTTAGACTTCCAGAATAAATCTCCATTCCCCTAGCTTTTGCCTAGGCAGTAGTATACTTATGCAAGATTCAACAACCTGGGCTGGAGGTATGCCGGCCGGCTGGTTCATCACATCTTGTCCAGTCCCTCCTTGGTGATCTTGGTCAAGATCTCTGCGGTCATCATTGTTCGGATATTAATTCCGGCAGCACACATGATGATGATGACTGTGTCCGCTCCTACACAGAGTACGGACTGACAAGCTCACACTTGTTGAGACGGACCGGACCGGGCTTACTCTCCGCGCCGCTCACCTTGGTGTTGGTGTCAGCCCCCAGACTCTCTCTCCGCAATATATGTAGGTTCGTACATAGGTCTGTCGGCGGCGTGGAGCTTACCGCAGACAGAACCGAACACGGCATAATATCAATGTGTGCGCTTGTGGCGCTGTTCACACTCAAATGTTTCCAAAAGCTTCGCAAGCTCCATGAAGAACGTCTTGATATCCCCATTCAGGCATGACTTTCACACCTTGGATCGTCAACAGCTGGAAATCAGAATCGGACTGGTGATAGCGCACCAGTAGCGCAGGTAACACCACGTCTTCCGTCTGCACCAGACCTGCAAGCCTGCGCCTTGACGGTTCAGATTTCCCCTTTCTTTGTCTCGTGCAGCATGGGAAGGCGGACTGGACTTTCAAAGACCCAGAGCCATATCACCCAACCCACATGCCATCCCAATATCAGAACAGGATGCATTGCCGACAAGCCGCTGCGTGTCTCTCTCACTGGTCGACTTCCCATCTTCACCGCCATGTTTTCCAAAGCCCAATCGAAAACGGCGGCGCCGGGTGGTTGTGCCTTCATGCATCTGCAATCGTTTGCTGCTTGATGGTTGACAGTCGCTGATTGGTGTCTGGGCCAAGAAAGCCGATGATGCAGCAAGAAAGAGGTGCTGTGTGGCAGCCCAAGCACGCTCCGGCGGGGACGCTAATGCAAGCACTTAAGCACTCGCGTCTTGATCCCCTCTCTGTCTGTCTTGTCTTGTCTTGTCTTGTCTGGCCTGTGGTGGCCCAGCTGGGAGCGGTTGCATTCGGGTCTGTTTCTTGTTCAGGCTTTGGCCCTGTCTTGTTCTGGTCTTGGTTTTCTTTGCTGATAAGCAAAAAAAGAGAAGCAGGAGAAGGCCCGAGGGAAGCTAGTGTCAGAACCCCGCTTGGGTATTGTCAAAGTGTCATGTCAATCGCTTGCTGTCAGTGCTAAGACAGGCTACGCACGGTAGGTCGCCTTTTTTGGCCACCCGTCCATCATCACCTCACCGACACCGAGGCCTTGGGAGAGGCGGCCCGGCGTTTTTGTTTCCTTTGTTTTCCGCCAGACCGGTTCCAAGCGAAGAGCAACACGGGAGAGAGAGAGATAGCGCCATCCACAGAGGCGGGACGGTTGCTAGTGACGAGCAGGAATTTCTCGAATTTCTCAGCAAACAGACAAAGAAATGAGCAGTTATTCAGATTGGGGGAGGGCCGATGACGCGATTTGTTCAAGGGGAAAGTGCCTATCACGTGTGGGCTGCCCCTCCGGTTCTGTCGGTCAAAGATCTGAGTAGGTCGTGTCGTATGCTGTAGACAAGAAGGAAAAAACTCTTCGGGTCACACACTGGCGAAGATCAGGAGAGGGAAATTTGTCGAGGCCAATCTTGGCGCCACTGGGTGTCATTGTGGTGACCAGTGGTGGTTGGAAAAGAGGGAAGCTGGGAAAAGGAGGGGCACGAGAGAGAGAGAGAGAGAGGTTGGGCCGATGGAGGGGTAAGTCGATGAGCAGCTCTGAGTGGCCCATGCTCCACCACACCGCCTGCTTTTCCCCCTTCAGTTATGAGATGAGGTGAAGCGTGAGGCTGCCAGCCATCATACTACAGGTATCATAACAAATAACAACCTGATCGACTTACTGGGTTGCAGCGTAGGCTGTAGCAAATAGCGCGCTTGCCGGAGAAAGCCCACCGCCTTCTCTGACTCTACAATGTTAATTTACAACTGCATCTGGGTCCTGGGAGAGATCACCGTCTGATTGGACCTCAGCACAGCACGCCACGTCGCCCTACATTTCTGGACAGCAGCATATACATCCGTACCATGCGCGCATGCATCATTCATGCATGCATGCAGCCCTAGATTTTTCCCCCTCTTCTCACTTGCCCCGATGTGACTGGTCCTCTACGCCCGATTGTGGTGCTGGTGTGGTTGCGGTGAGGTCCATAGTGGGTGGTATCGCCAATCTCCCTTCCACCACACAGCAAATAGGATGAACGGGTTGGGTGGAAGGCTGGCCGATGCGCGTCACCCAGACTGTTTCCTTCTGTCCCGTGCCTTTGTGACCTCGTCCGACGGGCGTAGATTGACTGAGATATCGGGACACAAGGTGTGTGACAGTGGCAACTGCAACGCGAGGCGACGGCACACTGCAACGGTACGGTACTTGTTTTCGACAGAACCGACCGAAAGAGCGACAGATGCGAGCCGTTTCCTTTGACCAGTCCAGTCATTCTTCATCATCATCCTCATCATCATCAGCATAGAGCACCAGTCACGTGTGGCCACTGCCCCTGAATGACCAGTTGCTGTTTGTTTGTTGTGGTGGTGCTGTTGTGTCCAGAATCACTGGACAGCAAGCCCAAAAAGTAATTGTATTTTCAAAACGTATGTAGTGTTTGCCGCGCGAGAAACAACACCCCACGCCGGCGTGTCTGGGCTCTTGACCCAAAAGCCGTGTCTAGCAATAATTTGTTCCCTCCCCTCGTCGCCATGGTTCCATCTCTGCATGTTAACCCCCCTTTCCACAAGAAACGTAAACGTAACGTAATAGTAATGGCAACCACAGCGAAACAAAAGCGTAAAAACTGGTATCATCATGCCTCGGGCAAGAAACAGAAAAAACCGCATGCCTCTCTCTCTCTCTCTTCCACCCCTTTCTATTGCCGATAAATGATGCTCAAAAAAAAACGTAAACATATTTCCAACGTCGATGTTTGATCCTGACTGCCAACACATGGCAGAGCCAGAGCAAAGAGAAAATTGATCCAAGTGTCCACCGGGGTATTAGATAGAAAAAAAAGACCACGTCAACAAAGCCCTTCCCCCCCTCCCCCCCAAAAAAAAGATCCGCTGCTCCTCCATGTCCTTCTTGGAACACGTGGCAGTGAAAAACTCCAAAAATGTATCCCATTCCCCATCGATCCGAGTGCGCCGATATTGATGCAATCCCTATACGGATAGTTATTCCCCAAAACAAAAAGAAGCAGGAGAAACACCGCCGACCGCTTTCTTTCCCCTATCCCCCAGGGTTTGATGTGAAACCCAACTCCACGCTTTGTATCCAAAAAAGACAAAATACCGTCCCGATCCTGCCCCACTTGTAGAAAATACATTTTGGTTTTGATAGAAAATATAGACATTGAAGAAATTTGGTTCCTTTTTGGTGTTCCGGGTCTGAAGTCGGCTTTGGGCGCTCCTTGCCGTGGCAAGAAGAAAACGAAAAGGCTACCGGGTATATTATATTCGAGAATGAATGAGAGAGACGCAAGAAAAATGAGATAAACGTTGTAGGTGATCAAGCTTTGTGTGCATGATCTTCGCTCGAGGTATCGAGCCGCGAGGGTCAAAAGACGAAAGCGAATAAACAGAGGATCCGAGGCAAGAAAGTCCAATCCTGGCTGAGGGGGGGGGGAGAGTCCAAAGAGTCCGGCTTAGTAGCAACCTTGCATGGCAAACAAGGGAACCTGATGATGGAATGGAACCGGGTGGTGAAGCTGCGGTGGTTGAGCAAACTTCAACATGTCCCAGACATACTGGTGCAACTGTTGGAACTTTGGTGGCGCGCATACCGGCTGGACAGGGACATGCAAGGGCTGCACTGGATGCACTGGATGCATATACTCCTGTTGGGGGTGGTAGGCCACAACTCTGGGTTCCTCTGGTGCCTCGTAGATGGGCGGGGTCTTGGCCTCTGGGATGTCCTCGAACAAGTCGTCTTCGTCCTCCTCGAGGTCTCCGATGCTTGAGCATGACGAGGTGAGTGATCCTTCGTCGGACGAGCATGTCGACTCTCCGTCTGACGAAGCAGGGGAGAGCGGCTCATCGTAGTCGAATTCGTCGTCGTCTTCAATAGCCGATCCATCGGCAACGTAAACGGTGGTGTGCCCCGGCGAGGCCGGCGGCGTCGACAGAACCTGTGCTGTCGGTTGTTCGGTGAACTGGGAGCAGGCGAGTATCCTCGCCCGCAGTTCGGAGAGGGTGATTCTCTGATCCGGGTTCCGGGTAAAAATCCTTCCAAGGATGTCGTTCAACTCGTCCGATACGGGAAGGATAGTCTTGAGAAAATCCTGGCTTCTCGCGTAGGCACGGTAAGTAGAGTCTTCATGGGATGCTTGCTTCCACGGGTTGCGCCCGCAGGTGAGGTTCACCAGGACGACGCCAAGGCTCCAGACGTCATTGGGGGCACAATAATAAAAAGGTCTCCTTGACGAATGGTCCAGGCATTCTGGAAGGGAAGGAAAAGAGAAGCGTTAGTGGGTGCCCAGGGCGAATTGACAGGAAGCTTAGAGGGGTGACACCTACCTGGTGACATGTAAAAGGTTGAGCCGCAGCCGTAATCATCGGACCGCTCCGAGGCAATGGCCAGGCCAAAATCTGCCAGCTTGACAGTCTCTCCTTGGTCAGATACCAGAATGTTTTCCGGCTTCAGGTCCCGGTGGTAAATCCCCAGGTTGTGGCAGTGCTCCACGGCGTCCAGGATCTGGAGGAAAACCCTCTTGGCCAGTTCATCCTTACCAACATAGCGGCCGCACTCGGTGATGTTGTAAAACAGGTCACCTTCGGGGCAGTACTCGAGGATAACGTAGGTGCAGTCAGGAAAGTCGATGATCTTGAGCATGGACACTACGTTGGGATGGGCTGAGGCGGTGTAGTGAAGCTTGATCTCCCTGGTCTGAAAGGCGACTTGACGACGATCCAGCGGGGTCCCGTCGGCATTGAACTTGCTAAGGCACTTGACGGCATAACGAACATTGGTGTGGATGTCGACAGCAGAGTAGACGACGCCATACGCGCCGGTTCCCGCGATGCCCGTCAGCTGGAGCGAGGGCGTGATGAACTTTCCTAACCTCTCCTCGGGGGCAACGGGCACATATCGCGGTTGCTGGTGGTGGGCGGCATGATACTGGTTTGGAATGGCACACCTCTGACCGAATGCTGGTGATGCTGGCGGAGTGGGATATCCGAACATTGGAACATGCTGCATGATCTGGGGAAGTGAGGTGACTGGGTTGGTTTGCGTTGTGAGTGGGCCTTTGCTTTGGGCAATCCGGCCTTCCAGGTGTTAAGAGAGTGCGGAAAGGAAACAAGTGTAGAAATATGTAGTCAAGAGAAGAAACAAGCTATTCCCCGAAAAAAAGCCTCGGCTTAGGGATGGGTTGTGTCCTCAAGAGCAGAAGATTTAAAATAAGGGCTTCCTTTGTTCTCCCACGGGCTGACCTCGGTGACTCTCCTCGGGTGAGCAGGCGCAGGTCTGGTGGCCGCGTCCGGGCTGGGCTGGTAACAAAGGTGCAGGCAGGTCAAACTTGAACCGAGTGAACGAGTCAAGCCGTCGTGATTAAAGGTGTGTAAGGTCGGCAGAAAGGTGAAGAAAAAGGAGGAGTCGGAGCAGCAGTGGTCGGCAAAGGGGTGGAAGAAGGGGAGTTCGTCGAGATTAAAGAGTGTCGAGAAGGGCGGTGGAAGAGGGGGAGTGAAGCATCGGTGATGCGGGCTGGATGGAATGTCGATGATATTTGTCGATACAGATAGCAGTGACTGGCTCGCCCGCTGGTCTCTGCCGCCCCGTTCTCCGTCAAAGGCCGGTACCAGTTGTGCCCCCCTGCTTCCCTGCCCCCTTCCTCCTTCTGCTTCCTGGTCCCTTGCCCTTGGCCATCTCTTTGAATTGCGTGGTTTCGCCGTCGTGATCCCGCGGCTTGATTGGCGGGCGAAGCCCATGTCAGACTGGGCCCGGTGGACCAAGAATTTTCTCTGATTGACCAGACATGGGTGGCCCCCGGTACGTATCTTGTGTGAGTGTGGCCCCTTCGATGCCCTGGATGGGCACAGGCCAGCACATCCTGTCTTCAGACCCATGGCACAATGCGCCAACCTATTCTTAATCTTGGGTGCGCGGCGCTAGTGGTGTGTGGGTGCTGGTAGTGCTGGTGCGTGCTCGGCGTGCTAGTGGTGGCCAAGATGGAGGGGCCTAATCCTCAAGAGGCTTTGCCGCTAATGCACAGCGAGAGTGATTTGTGACGACGAGCCATTACGAGGACAAGGGCTGGGCTGACACACACAACACACGCCCACTCCACGTCGCCCGCTGTCCACTCAGACGATGTGTGTGTCACTCACGCCCCTCGAGAAGCGAGAGGAAGGTGTGTCTTGGCTTGGGAATGGGGTGTGGTTCCATGGTCTGTCTGTTTCTCTCTGTCGGACACTCATCACTGGGCGACAGCGGCTGGGGGAAGGCAAAAAATGCCATCTGCCGCCGGTCTGTCGCTCACCCTGGGCAGTCTTTTCTCAGGAAATGATGACGGAGAATTCGATAGGCAAGCCGACTAATTGTGGCTCAGACGCTCTCAGACTGGGGCCGGCAATCTATCGAATCGAGCGAAATCCCTAGCTTCTGGGGAAGACGGCAACCGTCGAGAAGTTTGTGCTTTGCACGTGGTGACTGTTTGCGCGAAAAGTCAGCAGCTCACCAAACCAAGGGTCTCCCTTCCTGTGGCTCATCAGTTGTCGATGTGTCTCTCTTAAACTGAGCAACCGGGTCCGGTCGAGCCGCACCGCCCCTCAGTGCTCCGTAGTGCGGTTTGTCACAATCGTCAGTTGATGATGATGATGCCTTCCGTGAATGTTCCAGCGGACTTGGAGGGCTAGCAAAGCCGAGAGTGGCCCCTGCGCCTCTGATCAGAGTGGGAAGGGATTCACCAGACCTGCAGAGTGATATCCTCTTGCCGTATATTTGATGCGAGATAGGTAAGTAGCACGCCCGTAATATGGATAAACACCCCAAACACCCAGTCTGGCATCGGTGTGGTGTGCGGTATCACCTTGTCAGCGCTCAATGGATGTGAATGGGCGCACCTTGGCAGGGCGCCCGACGGTGGGTCGGCTCATCAGCTTAGCGATGAGCTCACACCAGAAGGCGGCCAAAGCCACCGATGTCTCGACGCCGTCGTGCCCAGCGGGACGATCACGCTCCACCAAATGGCCCCAAATGCCGTTGGATGATGGGGTCATTGAAATTCATCGTCATAAGCTATGTGTCTACCATTATATCCGAAAGGATCTGAAGGATGGGTCCCAAGGAAGGAAAAAGGCATCAGCACCAGCATCATCCAATCCGTCCGACGGCGCCTCGTCTGACCCAGAGGCACACCACTTTGCTGCTCTGGGACAAGTGAGGCTGTCAACCCCGGTCTGCTGCCCCAGAACTTCAAAATGGCCTGTGCAGGAAAACAGAACATCCCGTCATCGGTGGCTTTCCCAAACATCAACAATTCAAGCAGAGGCACGTGAATCGCGGGTGATATTTCTCGACGAAACATGACCAGTGTGCGAGGGTGTTTCATCGCGCCGAGGTACATTTCCTGTCTGGTAATCTTCGTAGGTGGTAGGCACGTCCAATATTGTATGTATCAATATCAATATGGTTGTAGATCTGTGGCACAGGCATCTGGAGAAAGCCGTCAGCTGGCAGCGTGTTGTGCCGTTGGTTGGCTTTTGACAAGAAGAACAGGCGCCCAGGCCGCAGGTGGCCGCTTCAACAAGAACGTCATATTTTCTCCCCCAACAATTCGTGTGCAAACCGCGGGCCGTTTGGACAGACCACCGTCGCAGGCGCCATCTCAAAAGCTGCCAAAAGGCCAACCCCGGTGGATCGGGGAGAGGGTCTTGACATCGGGTCACTGCATCATCCATCAAGCGGCTCGACGGTTTTAGTAGCAAGAGCAAGAGGAAGAGAGAAGAATATTGGTCAGGTTCGAAACTCACCGCCGTCTACACCCGCGAACCCTCATCGGACCAGTCAGAGTCTCTGCCTGGGCTCGGCTGAGATTGCTGGGTAGCACGATGGCAACCTTTCGTGCGCGGGAATCAGGTCCTGGACCATGGGACGCTTCGAGAAACCCTTCTGACAGACCAGTGGTCCAGTATTGCCTGCGCGTCACTGAACGGCCGGTGAAAAGCAACATCATCCACTTCATCCACATCATTGGCTGCGCCCGCAGAAACATCCGCAGCGCCACCAATCCGCAGGCGGTTGCAGAGGTCGCCCGTTGTTATTATGGCCTCGGCCCTCGAACGATCCGTGACGACTGCATCAAATGCCGATACTCACTCTAGAATTTCGGTAGACGAACCACAGCACCCGGATTTACCACACCATTTCCATCCTCGGAATCCAGGGAGGAAGCCATACAGTCAGAGTCTCTGGTCGTCTGATATTGTGCATGCCTTGGGACAGGCCGCAGACGCTTCTCAAACGCTGCGAAGGAGGTTAGTGGCGATCATGATTCACAGCAACACAGCATCATGCACTATCTGCCGGACCTCGCCCGTAGCCAGTCACACACGATCAGACATGGTCCAAGTCGCGAAGCAGGAAAGACAACAGCGTCGATCTTTGTTGAGGAGGGGTTCACAGGGTCTTTTCTCCATCATGCCATATCAACGGCCGTTTTGACGCTTGGCGGCACCGGCGGGGTCTCAGGTAGCATAAGAAAAGAAGAAAAGAAATGCCCTTCGAGAAACTCAGTCGAAACAACACCCCGCCAAGCGAAGGGGAAAACGGCACATCCCGAAACTGATGGTGGAATGTTGTGCTAACGCTTCGTCGTAAGCGAGCATTGCGAGTCTGGGGGGTATCTCGACCGATAAAAGCCCCTCGACTGTGTAGTCGATGCTACCATGTACGAAATAGGGGCTTGTTTCTGGTTAGTGCTAGTTGCATATCACCACCCTTCCACCAACCAGCCTCCCCTCGGTCGAGAATATTGACCCGTGGCCCAAGGCAAACATGGAGCATCGCGAGAGAATCTCGATGGCAGGAGGGGCTACAGGATTAACAAACAGTCACGATATCAGACTTTTGCATCATTCTGAAGGGATTCAAACCCGTGTAATCGGTTTCATTCGGCTCACCTCACCATCCGCAGGCGTCATGATGAACCGACGATCCTCTTTTTGGTGATCAGCGAGAAGGCCAGATCAAAGCTCGAGCGTCATAGCTGCGATACCAATAAGCATCTCACAGCGATGCTTATTCCATCACACCTATCGGAGGATGAGATCGACGCTGCGCCGCCTGCTCGTCGGGACTACTATCACACAACTCCCAAGGCCTTCCCGTGGGTGCGTGAACTCCATGTTTCCTCACCACCGGGTTGTTGTGGATTCTCGCACGGACAGCATCTCCGTGTTGAACCACCGGAGCAGGACCTCGCTCCGAAGACCCGACCCAGCCGATCGGTGGTGGGGGTCTGAGCTGCTTTTTGAACGACGTCTGGAACTCCAACCAAGTAGTAATAAATTGCTCTTCATATATTTCATCGTCATTTTGGATACACCACCAGAGGCACGGGCGGTACAGTTTGCTGATCGTGATGACAGTTACATACACCTCTTATCAAATCAAGTAGATCGTCACGCTCTTTGGTCCTCACATATTGCGAGGGAATCAACAACACCGAAGCCTGCTGCTTCTCTCCCCTTTGTGGATGAGAGGGTGATTTTTGCTTGCAGATTCTTTGTCAAGATGACGAGGATGGGCATGCCTGTTACGACAGGCAAGCTGTTTTGCACGAGACATCATACAGTGACGGCATCGTATGGGTATCGAATGCCCCGGAGTATAGTGTTCTTTGGCACTGTTTTCGGCTAACCCAACGATGACCTGTCCCATCACGTTATACTGGCTTCTCCGAGACCTAGCACAATGTCTATGGCATGTCTGAAAATCGGTGCGAGTCTTCCAGTCACGCCTTGGTCAGCATTCTAGGATGGACAGACAACCCTATCCTTTCTCTCAACCTTCGAGAAACTAGTTGTAGGATCTCCTCAAGCCTCTTCCCTGTTCCTTCTTCCCAGCCTAATTCTCAGGCCGTTCATCAGGTCCACATGGGACGTGCCAACACGGTCAATATGATCAAGCCCCATCCAACCAGCTCTCTAAGGTTTGCATCTTTTGACATCAAGTGATGTGTCGCTACAAATCTTCCCCGAGAAGTGCAAAGATCGGAGTTTGGCTGTTTGATGACCGAACCGGGCTGAAGTGGGCTTTTTTTGAGTTGGCTGGTGGCCGCCTCGCACCACAGAAAACACAGGAAAAGCTCAACAGTTAGACTCCTCTCCGAGCGGCTCGCAAAGTACACAATGGGCAGAATTACCACCTTTGGCATCTTCTGTACCTAGGCACTCAAACATCATCAAGGGAGGGCAACCTGCTCTTTGCCCCCTCTCCACTGCCGCATCATCCCAAGGCTCGGGGCCTGCCAACCAGCGGCACATTCAGAGTTGTCTGCGGCACGACGCTGAGAAAGGTCTCAAGAAGCATGAGGGGAAGAGTCGGCGGGTGTTGTGGAACCGGTCGCGAGATCTGGCCTGAGTCAGTCCGCCAGTTCTGACTGACTGTTGACTGCCGCCGCTACGGACGGTTATATGCTGTGTAATATGTGGGTGACGGCTGCACGACAACAGAAACAGCGACGACACCCCCCCCCCCAAAGATTTAAGTGAAGAGGGTTCAAGGACAT